AGAGATGAGCTTAAATATTTATACAGAGTAAATATTTAAGCTTATCTGTGAATTTTTTAAAAGTAAAATACTTTTTACTTATATCTTCATCCTAATCATCCAATCTAGAACGAAGTTTACTGTAAACATAATGATTCACATTTGCAATAGAGTATCAACTAATATTATTATTTCACAAAGTGCAAGAAATTTTAGAACAAAAAAAAAGATGAAATTTTCAAGAAAAATCACATTGTCAATAATATCAATATATATTGATATTCTCAGTTACTTATTTCCATTTTTATCTGAACTCATTTGATTATTTAAATTGCATCCGAAGGCAGTATGCAAACTTTTCTGTAGAATAATATTTCAAATAATCTTACAGATATGTACTTTCTGTAGTTTTGAAATAAAAATTTATGATATGTAAGACAGATCACAAAAGCATGTATATAAAAAATGTGATGCACAAAATATAAGTAAAAACCATTTATGATGAAATTTCATCTCCAAAAATCCATCTAAAATTATCAAATCAACTCTCAACCTTGACTTACGTAGCTTTGAAAGTAGATTTATGATCACTGAATTTGACATTCAGAGACATTTGCTCTTGACATGAATAAATAATTTGATAGTAGTATACTTTCAATTTATGTTTTATACAAATGTTTTAGTATCTAATAAAATGCTCCAAATCAATGTTACTTTCAGTAATAACTTGTGGAATAATTTTCTTTGTGATAAAATCAGAGAAATTTCATCACAAAATATATTTGTAATATTAAGATATTCTGTTTTATTTCCAAACATTAAGAAGGACGCTTTGTTCAAAAGATGAAACAATATATGGCTAGATTTAATATTAAAATCAAGTCAAACTCACTTTGTGTTTCTTAAGTTACGCAGTAGCTGCTCTTTCTGCAGCCACACACTCCAAGTGTTAACTTCCAAACGTTTGCTCATAGTGAAACTTAATTTGAGCACTACCTCTTGAACCCTTAGTATTATTTAGAGGGTTGTTAGACTCAATTTTAGAACAAACATCGATAAATGTTTAATCTAATTTAACTGTTGTATCTAATCTTGCATAAGTCTAATAATCTATTTTAGGATTCCGCTGCACAACTTGTGTCAATTTAGATTATTTTTAACTCTAAATTAATGGTGCCAGTGGATGCATATGTTCAAAGTGAGTACTTGATCTCTCAGATAACCATCACTATATTCTGCATGCAAGTGTCTTTCCCTCTTGCCAGGCTTCCACTATAATTATTTCAGCGTTAGCTTCACACAAGCCTAACTTTCAGGCCTATCTTCATGGATGGGCCTTCCACTTCGCTTGCTCTGCACCAGATGACCAGGATGTCGGTGCTTTCACTTGCCAAATCCGAGAGAGGTCTGCGATTTTTCTTCTGTTGAATTCACAGAACGTGCGCACAGGTAGACACTGTCCATTTTCGTCCACCAAATGTGGACTCTGTTGCGATTTCCATTATTAAACGCCCTAACCAGGGTGCTTGCAGAAAGGGTGCTCGCAAAAAAACTGCTCTATTTCCATCCATTCATATATGTGCTGCTCGCTGTCACAAGTGACCTATTTATATCACCTTCAGCTCGTTTATCAGCTCGTAGCAGATTTCATTTAAGATGACCGCCTCTATTCAGGTCATTTGCCTTCTGGCTTCAATGTTTTTCACTAATTTTTAAACATATAATTCACTTTTCTGGAATTTCTTTCTGCAATCTCCTTAAACACCTACAGCGACGAGCGTGCTAGTAATTATTCCAAACTATCATGCTCTTGGTACAGACATGCCCAATTAGCGCTATAACCCTATTGGTATTAGAGAAATCTGGAACGTACTTCTAAGAATAATAACTCATTTCTTCTTCCTCACTCAATAACAGCGAAAGCGTTCCTTCATTCCAAATAACATAGAGATATCTGTCTTTTCTAGGATTTGAGGTATATGCACCTTTATACCTCGACTTTGACACTTTCTTCTAGCCTGCTCTCTGCATCTGTTGGACCTTTTAGCATGAAGACCAATTCCTGCCTTGATCTAACTCTGCATCTGCTAGCCTCGTATATTGTAGTCGCTCAAGCCATCTTTGTAGTTTTGATTCGCTGTTGGATAATTTATAATTCCAAACTCTTCTCTCGTACCCCATCTCTTCCTTCCATCTTCTTTCCAAACCAAGATCAGTTAGGCAATAGGATCCACACGATGATATTTACACTGCTGTATAGTGGAATCACGTAGCATTCTATCATGCTACTTAACGGTGAATCATTCCTACTTCCAATCATGTCTCACAGAGCTTTGGCTCTGTCTTATGTAATACACGTCTCGGTGTCCATGTAGCAGGCCAGAAGCAATGAAACAGGAGTGAAGAGAATGTTGATGTAATATTGATAAATCTGTCGACAGCACGGCCATGTTTGAAACCTCACAGTTGTCATTGATAAGACACAAATGGGGACTGGGTCGTAGGCTGACTGTAAGCGAATTTCTCTCATAAAGACCAGCTGTTAAGGTTATCAGGACAGGATGCAATAATACGAAGGTAGAGCACGAACGATTGTTTTCTGTCACTTGAAGATGACACAGTCAGTTACATGACAAGAAGGAAAGGAAGAACCCATCAAGTAGTACAAGGATGAAACCAAACAGGTAGCATGGGGCTTGACCCCATTAGCATCACAAATGGGAATTATATTATAAAAAACCTTCAATTCACTTCACTAACCGGGGTGAACTTTCATTCGAAAATTAGATACTGAGAGTGATAAATGAAAAGTCCTCTGAGGAGAGTGCTTAAAAGTGACTGGAAGTGTAGCAAGAAAATCACCATCTTGGTCAATTGGTGAACAAAAAATCTGTATCGTGCTAGTAGACATCAGTTAAGGCCATGGCACTCCTATCATGCAATGAAGAGTAATACATTGCGATCCAGTATAGTAGGCTCTCGTAACAACCTGTAGAACTCCAGGTCCAATGCTGCATATGAACTCTAAACGAAAGGTAACAAAAACGAGACATTTTCATCAGAATAGAAAAATGTTTGGATCATTGCTCATCCGAAACAATCATTCTTTAATTTGTCAAGGCAAGGTATTAAACGAACAGCCTATCTACCCGAGTCATTGTCTCATCCCCGGGAGAAGAAAGTCTACATCAGTTAGAAAGCTGATAAATAGCACAAATCATTGAAAATTATTTTTTTGGGGAATTAAAATGCGGGGTTAATCACTGGACTTTTAGCACCAAATTTCTTCAGCTTGCCAGCTGACATGACAAACGGAGGCTTGACACATCTCATAAAGAATACACTTATATTTACACTGATCTCCTCAAAATCAATTGCAGTAGATGAATGATCAAATGCTTCTCAAATTTTTCTATCAAGCTGTCCCCATGGGCTCGGTAGAGAAGCCCATATGAACCGATATCAAATTACATAGACCAAGAAGAAAGCAAAACATAACCCTCGGATTTTTTCTCTTGAAAAAATTCGTTCTCATCGGGTATATCTGGGACCTGCGAAATGCCTCGATAATTTGTCCTTAAATGGGCTCATTTGTGAATTGTGAAAGTTTGCTGGACAGCTGTTGGCCTTACTGATGATTGACGTTGCTGTTATTATCTACTCGGCGACCAGCGAGCACATGAGTGGCAGCTGAAAACGTTAGCCTAAACACAGGCGTACAGGTCGCACATCGCAACTGTGGTCATCCGTTACCCATACCACGGCGTAATATGCTGCGTCCGCGCTTGTGCGCCTGGCCCGCGACCAAGGGAGGACTTCTCCACCACGGCCGTCCCTAAATTCGAGGTCCCTTCCAGTCCCTCTCACGAAACGTGCTGCCACTCATCCCACACCGGAGGACGATCACTATAGGACCCCAAACGGCCGACAACGGAGTCGACGACGGACGTCTAATTGGGTCCAAAACCACGACACACATCGTTTACGTCCGTCACACAATCATCAGAGTGTATCATACAGTCCGATTGGGCTGACGGAGTAGTTCACCGCATATCCTTCTCTTTCCGTCAAAGTGAACCGCACCGGACGGAGCAGACGGACGATACTGGGGAACTGGTGTATCTTGCGGTCCGCCGGTCCCACAAAGGCCCGCATAGGTGTACCGGTATTCCGAGCTCGGAGATCCGGAGGTCAACTCGTGGAATAAAGATTGATCCGGTTCGGATTTTCAACGTCTTCCCCGGGAGGCCGTATGAACGCGAGGCTCCTTTGAAGATGCTTCGACGTACCACGAGCGTACGATTTTTGATCCTCGGATGTGGGACAAGTGTGATCGGACGGTGTGTGAGCTATTTGAAACAGGTAGAGAGGTCAATTGGGATTGCTCGTACTTACGTACGGGTAATACGGTGGAGGTCTCTAACAAGGACTCGGGGACGAGGAGGACCACCCCGGCGAGGGCACTGCACCTCGCTCGCCGACCCGATGCCGGAGGACGCGACCCTTATCGCGACCGGGAGGGGCGCGGGATTCCTGAACCCCGGGCCAACCGCAAGACGCGAGAAGATCGTACGGAAACTACGACGCAAGTTAAGACCGTGGGATCAACAGTTCCGAAGGGCCGACGTCCGGATCCGACCGCGCTGAGTGTTGGCCAACGCGGTTACCACTCCTGCCTCGGGAGGCGAGGTTCTCATTCCACGCGACGCTGCGACGTCAGGACCTCCCGGGAAGATCGCGGTTCCGCACAGGACGACGACGCACGCTACGCCCCTGCGAGGGAAGTTCAGGAAAGGGATCTCGAGGTCGCGGCCGGGACGGATTATCCGGGGACGGGGACGGGGACGGACGTCCTGCCGAGAAGGACCCGGAGACGCGGGGACGTACTGCGCAGTAGGAGCGGCCGTAGAGTCGCGTGTTCCGAATGCTCGTGCGTTGGTGATTTGGCCGGGGACTAGGGGCGGGCGAGGCGAGAGATCGTGCCAAGGGGGGCGGAGGAGCGTGGACTTATTCGGATGCGAAAGGGAGTCGACGGCACTGTGCGAGGTCCGAGGGGCCACAGTGGGAGGAGTCGGAGCAGGCGACAGCGGGACTCGAACAGTGGAGCGAGCGACTCGAGCAGCTAGAATTTGGACAGGTTTTGCACCAGAGCATGATGCCAGAGAATTGCTGCCGATGCGCTCAATTGTTTATAGCAATCGCTGGCCAGTCAAAGGTCTTTTTCCCGCCGATGTGTGGAATGCTGATGAGCCAGCTTCCGCTTCACTAGAAGTTCAGCCAGCTCCTTCAGCTGCACAACGAGACCCAAGCACCTCGATCCGTATCCTCTCTCCATCTCCATCTCCACGCCATCCCGCCAGCCTCTTCTTCAGCCCCGGGCTGCTGCTGCCGCTGCTTGCTGTAAGTCCACATTACTAACTCGCCACGTTCGATTGCTCGGCTTGGCTTCAGAGCACAGGTTGACATACTGAGAGCAGCGCAGCGCAGCAGATTTTCGTCCTTCGGCTTCTGACTTCCTTGACCCGGAGAATTGCACTCCATCGACGACGACGAAGGTCTTCTCGATCCAGTTCTCGGCTTTCGTTCTGCTCTCTCTCTCTCTCTCTCTCTCTTCCCACGACCGGATCCAGTAGCTAGCTAGGCAGCTGGTGGATCACCCGGACAGGTGTGGAGTTCCTTGAATCTGTCGAGTCCACTCGCTGCATCGCACGACATTTGGATCACAGGAGGAGCTCGTCACCTCTCGGAGTGCAGTGCAGTGCATTCCATCGCGTTGCAGTGGATTGGATTGGATTGGACAAAGGCGATCTGCCGAGGTTCTCTGCGGCTCAAATCTGGGGTAGTTGGAGCATTGCAGCGTGGATCGTCGATAGTTCGATCATATGGGAGTGCCGGGAGCAGCGGGCGCAGCAGTAGCAGCAGCAGCAGCTCGAGCTCCGGCGGAAGCGATGGATCGACACAAGAAGCGAGGAACGAACGTACTAATGGTGGTCCTCTTCTCGATGGTGCTGCTGGTGGGCATGACGAAGATCCACGCTCTGGTGACATTCTGCGATGAGGAGACGCCGACGACGGGAGAATTCGAACAGGAGATTGACACCCGGAGAATGCTGACCGCATCGGAATTGAGCGCAGAAGCCGAGAGGAGATTAGTCGTAGAGGCTGAGATCAGGAGAATTCTCGCCACGAAGAAAAAGTCCAACACCAAATCCTCGGGCTACTTCATCAGTTACAGCGCCCTGTCCGCGAGCCGGACGTCGTGCCCGCCTCGATCCGGCAGGTCTTACTACACTCGGAATTGCAATTCTGCATCCGGACCCGTCCGACCTTACTCCAGGGGCTGCTCCACCATTTCTCGATGCGCCAGGGACTCCGGGTAGATTGCGGGTCCAGGGTCCGGGCTCTCTCGCTCGCTCGCTCCAGAGCCGATTGCAGCCGCAGAACTCTTTCACCCTCCGAATTGTTAATTAAATCAGTCTGGGAGATGTCTTGTACCCACCACTTGAATCCGCTTCCGTGCAGGTGTGGGGGGCGGGCAGGCTTCGAGCTTCGAGCTAGCCCGGCGTTTCATCCCAACGGAATCGGATATTTGAACCATAATTGTATTCCAGGAACTCCCTGCTGCAGCCCCCCTCGAGGGGCGTTCATCATTCATTCATTCATTATTATCTTTACAGTTTTGTGTGTGTCTACGTTACTCGGAGGATTTGGCAGATGTTGCAGTGTGTGTCTTCATGTTCCTGTCAGGCATTCATTCATCTCTTCCGCAGAATCGTCGAGGCTCTTACTTCCGTTCGATAATAAAGTCCACTGCCCGCCCGCCTTGACACTCACTCGAGAGCGGCCCAAGGAACGGAAGCAAATCGAAAAGGGGGAAAAACAACTTTTGAACTATTCTAAACTATATACACTAATCCTAGGCCGCTTGCCGATTCATCACCGGGGATTCGGGTGATGGGCTTGTAAAGAATGCACGAGCGGCGAGCTAGTTAGTGCAGAAATGCTTCGAGCTCCTCGTGCTCGACAGGTTTACTAGGACACGTAGTGACCAGCAGACCTGCTGTACGATGGGAGTAGCTTATCAAAATTGAGATCCCTCAGTTCAAGAGGGCTTCATAGAATTTACCGAACCCCATCCTTCTGGGGCCGATGTAACCGTGTTCTGCTTCTTTTGACAGTTGATGAGTTTCAAAACTTTGATAGGCACCATGAAACTCTGTAACAACATACCTTCACGTGGATTCAAAAGTTAAGCGATCTTTCGAAACAGTGACGTAAGAAAAATGGTTTGAAGCCAAGGAGTGTGGGATCTCTCTCTCGATCTCTTTTCAAACCTCTGCTCTTGCCTGATTTTCTCTGACTAGCTAGCTGCCCATGGATCACTACCATTCGGTCTCTGCTTTGGATGGGTGTCATCTCCGTGCTTCCTCCTCGTGTCAGCCTGTCAAGTGTACCGTGCTAGTCATAGTGGTACTAGTCTGTTGGTGAAGATGACATATCCGCCCTGTTATCGTTGTAGAACTCACCATCGCATCACGTAAACTCGTGTCTTTCATTTTCATGTCCAATTTAAGCTACATACATTTTCTTTGAAGCTGCCAGGTTAAACTTGAATGGGTCTGACTGCTTCTTAAATGTGCATTTTCCGCATGAAGACGTGGCCCTCACCCCGAAACGATCCATATGCAGTTCTGTCGTCTATCAGATTGCATAAGGGATCATGCGTTGCCTGATATGGAGGAGCACAACTCGTGATGGTTGCATCGTTAAAGAGGACGAGACAATTCGGATAACGTAGGTTATCCGAATGAGAGCGAGAGCTCTCCGATGAACCATGCAGTGTTTAGCACACAGACCACGGAGTCTAGGCACGAGCACATGGAGAGGAAAAGCCACAAGCCTCATTCTGTCTGGGGCCTGAGCTAAATTCTGCTGGGGCCGGGATGCAGATGAGATCGAGGGTTTGACGGATTGAGAGCTTAATGTCACTCGTCCAAGATTCACCACTTGAGAGCGAATCGAGTTCATGATTTTCTCAAGTACAGCACACCATTGTGTCATGCGCCATACGGCTCGTACAGCTGTCCGCTGCAGTCCACGTAGAGTCAAGCAACAGAATTTCATGAGGCCATGAAATCGGCATGACCTCGAGTGTGATGAATGACGAATGCGACCTCCACAGAATAACAACGGCCCGGTGCGTGACCTCTGCGTACCCTCGAGAGTGGGTGGTGCAGCAGCAGCAGCAGGGGGTCGGACCATAAGTACCTCAGCTCTCTTAAATTCAGATTATATTCTCAGTTATGTCATGCTCTGGGAAAATGTGGTGTCAGATTCACGAGGTTCTTTCCCTTCCCAGCTGCTGCTGCCGCTGCTGTTGTTGATCATGTCCGCGAGGGTCCCAATGTGCACGTCTTCGAATTCCTCATTACGCTCAAAGATCGAGTCTAGACACTCACTGGTAGCTGAAACAGTGGGCAACGAGAGGGCAGTTATACATCCGTAGGTGAGTAAGATCAAGGGCACTATGAGCTCATTCATTTATTCATGAAAGACGCTTTATGCGCTTCGACCTGGCTCACGAGAGCAGCAGAAGCAGCACCTGCATTTTGGACGGCTTTGCAGGAGCCCGAGAAACGAGCAGCCTTGCGAGTGTGGTCGGTCAGAGCACCAAAATCCATCCAGTCCAGTAGCTGTACATCTGCCAAAGAGCAAGTATAAAAATTGACGAGCCTTGCATCGTCCGTCAGTGGCATCATCGAGTGAGTGCTTCGTGAAAGACCTCCGAAATGCAAATCTCCGCACCACGTCTCTGTTCCGATCAGCAGCAGTAGCCCGAGCTCCGAGCTCTTCCCTTCCTACTTCTTGACTTCGGAATGAAGCCCATCACATTTAACCCGAGGATCTGCACAAACCAGTGCGACGTCCCGTTCAATGCCCTGGCTGGCCTCCCCCGTTGGCACAATTGAACTGGACGCGATGAACATGTGATCGAGGGACAACGTTGAAATGCTCCAGAAGAAGCACATGCACTTGCTCTTGTCCTTCTCCTCGGGGTATGAAATCATGATCGCACCCTGAGCGGCCCACATAAACCCAGCCCCCACCGACGAACAAGGACGAGTAGGACAAGTAGGAGACGATGTACAGATCGTATGTCAACCCTCCCTCCCCGAGCAAGAGAGTGATTTGTGTCCCACGATGTTGGACACACCTCCTGCCAGAAGCGAGCAGAAGAGGCGGAGGTCATTGCCAGGGCGGTGTTTGCCTCGTCTGTCGATGGCATTGAGCCGAGATAGCAAAAGCACAATAGTCAAGGACTATGATCTGATCCAGCAAGCCTCTCTCTCTCTCTCTCTCTCTCTCTCTCTCTCTCTCTCTCTCTCTCTCTCTCTCTCTCTCTCTCTCTCTGTGTGTGGATAGGAAAGTACAAGGTGTGGGCGGGCCTAGTCTGTGCTGCTCCAGACCACTCCATCGTTGTGAGGTTATCGACATTGCTTTGGAGCACAAGCCATCTCTCTGTTGTGCCTACCTGCCTGACAACGACTCGAATCTAGAATCCACTGACAGCTCGCGTCCGCCGAGAGTCTGCAGTGCACTGCAGGGCTGAACCATCCGACAGAATCAGCTTTGCAACTGCTACTTCCAGCGGTACTCTTGTGAGCTAATCCCTCCCCTGGATCACTTGATGCGTAAGAAGCGTCGTTCCTATTTCAGTGGTGGTAGAATCGGAATTGCGCAAGCAACTTGTTTCCGACTGGTGTTTTTCACCGTCATGTATTGTGGCAAGGGAACAATGATCGGATCCTTTGTTATGGTCCCAAAATGTTACAGTCGTATTATGAGTTTATATGTGTGACTCAATATTCGCGGCACGATGGAGTTCGAATCGGGCCAATCGGGCCTCGGTCTGAGTTGTCTCGTGGTTGAAGACCACAGTGAAAGCAATGACGAGGAATTGATTTCTCCGACGAAAGGCACGAGACAGGTTAGGAGGTTGGAAATAATCCTGAAGTAGTGTTTGAGACTATCCCCTCTCGATCATCGTATTTTCTCGCCTCTCCCATTTTTGTGGATGTACACGAGTGCTGAACATCTGAGCAGAAACTCTAACCGCGCAGAGCATCTTGCACAAAATCTACTTCATACTGTGGCAGAGAAACTCTCGACTTCTGTATTATTCACAGCCCGGTGGTCCAGTTTTAAAAAGGGAACTTGATATCTTCGAGTCAATGGAACTCCGATCCAATTAATGTGATTCTCAGATGACGAGCTAGCAATGGGCACGGATATAGTGATATGAACCGATTGCTGCTGGCTCACTGGACCTAGGACCTACTGGATGTAACCTCGATCGGTCAGATTCATCCGTGGAGAAGGTCTGAGCTGAAGTCAGTTCCTGAGATTTTTGACAAACACGCAGCGTCCTCCGAAATCAGCACGTTCCTAATACGAGTACGAGAAGAAAATGCAGCAACGAATTGGAGGACTTTCCTACAGAAGAGCTTCATGCTGTGTGCAGCTGTGCAAGAGGATGGATTGGAAGGAAAACGGAAGTACCTCGATGTCGATGCCAGTCGTCAGAAGTGCAATGGAGGCAAGTGTCGTCGATCTCTTCGGGAGAGCTCCTTCGAGGACCCTGTTATGAATCATATGTCAACCTTGAGCACGATGGAGACGGCTTCCAGGACTCCGCCATTGTCCGAGAATTGTAACTCAGCAGACTCATATGCTGTTAGGGCACTTCGGCGCTTGCATGTGAAAGAAGATGCACAATCTTTTTTGGTAGATGTGAGGGCAAAGATCCCATACCAATCCATAAACTTGATTGGGGACCAAACCTACTGCTGCAAGTATGCATCTGTCAAATTGAGCAACGTAACATTGCAAGCTTAACAAAAGTCCTGCCGGAACTTGAGAAGGAGCTGGTCTCTTCTCGGAGAGCTAGCGCTGGGTACGTTGCACCGTTCATCTGATTGAAGTGGACGAAAGAGCTGACGGAGGACAACCTTGACTTCTTGCACTGAGACAGGTTTCAGTCTGAGATTCTGATCGTCGTACAGAAGAATCAGATTTGCGGGAGGACAAGAGTATCACCACCACCACATTTCCCGGGCCGGGGCCTAACATTTCACACAATGTTGTGAAGTGTGTGAGAATCCTTAGCAATCATAGTTGGTAAAGGGCCAAGTGGAGAACAAAAGGACCGGGGAAGATCCAAGATTATATGCCGTGATGAAATCTTTGTGTTGAAGCATTTATAGTCTTTGGATGAAATGATCTAGCAAAAAATTAAAAAAAAATCTAGTTGTTTCAAATAAATTATATAAAATGTTAAAGCATTTTCTCTATATTTTCAAATAATATTATATGATTTAAGTATGAATATCGAAATACTATTTGAGGCCAAAGTTGAAAATATAAAATCCATTAATCCATAATCCATAGAAAATCCATGTATTTTTATAGAAAGATCCAAACTGTTTATAATATCTATTATAAACAAAATCAGAATAGTAAAGTTTAATAGAAGCTACAAAAATTTATTTTTAATGTAAAATAGAACGTAAATCATTGCAATATCTTTCATGTAATCGAAAACAGTTTTTGATTTATGTAGTAGTGAGACATGCACTTGAAAAAAATATTCGAGGCTCGATTTCTTACAAATCAATACAAATGCAATCACTAAAACATGTGCCCGATCCGAGAATATATTGAAGAAATTTCTTCGGTCGAATCCAAGAGGACTCTCGAGCACTTTAGAATCATCAACAACGTCTCAGAAGGTTGATGCGCTGTTGAAAGCAGTAGGGCTCATATGAAAGGTCCAAAGTCTTGCACCTTTCGTTAGAGGTTTCGTTGCAGCAATCTGCGCGCTTGTTTCCTGAGCATGTACACGAATTGTCGATTCGAGATCTGTACGTTGCTAAACTCTTCTACTCTTTCTGTACAACGTGGTTGTAAACTTCCGTCGAATCTGGACCAAGAGCACCTCCAAAGTAGTGAAACTTCCGCTTTAAGTTATGAATTTATGGAGTAACGAAAATGAACGACAGGCTTTGTGAGAGCAAATTTATGGTTGATGCCAAGAAAACTCCAATAAAGAGCAGGATTCTAATGCTGGATGGTCAGTTGTGTTACCTTATCTATGGCGTTTGGGTCTAGTCATCTAAGCATCCTCGACTGGTGGTTTGGGAACAGAGCAATTGTAAATAATCGAATCCAAATTCCCACATTGAAATTCCCACTAGGAGGGGCACGAAGATGGGAATTACTAATCGCGCTTTACAAACCAAACCAGACGGATAACATCACCGTGGGAAATATGTGACATGGTGAGTAAAATATACTATATACTTGAGTATAGTTATTGAATTTAAATAACATAACAATAATCACCGAACGGATTGAAATTGCAATGATTAACTATATATAAGCAATGGAAATTTGATACACTAAACTACGCAAAAAAACTAAGATTTTGATACTTATGACTCAGAATGTATTCGGCTATTGTACGCCCTCTCGTCCAAAACATGTACAAGGGTCCATGGTTCTAAGCAAGTTGAAAATTAGAATAACAAGAAATAGACAAGGGGCCAGATAAATAGCAAATTAAAATGAACACTTACTTGATTTGATATTCTGTTGAATTATCGAGTAAAATTGCACATTATGTTACTAGAGAATTCAGAAATTTTCATCACGCTTGAACTTGTATGTTATAAATATGAAGGAAATATAGATATACATTATAGTGGATCAAGATGATAACGAATCTTATTTAATCTTGACAAAGTATTACCAAATTATAATTTTAACAATTAGTTTTTCAATGTGAGGAAAAAGTTCAGAGTGGGATAATTTCTAAATGTAAATAACAAATACCTCCAAATGGGATTGATTACAAATAATTATGGGAAAAAAAAATCTCCAAATCTTAGCGAGATCTTATATTCATGTCGACCCACTAGACTAGACTAGATGATGTATTACTAGTCCACAAAGGCCAGAGAAACAAAAAGGGATCTTTCTAGTGCAAAGCCTCGTTGGTTCGTGGGCAGCGTCGTCGTCCACTGACGAAGAAGCGCGGAAGGATGCGAAGGATGCGAAGCTCGCGACGAGAAATGCTTGACTGGTGAGCAGGAGCAGGAGCAGGAGCGAGCAGCGAGCGCAATTCGAAGATGCAGGGGATTCTGGTCCAACTGCCGCACCATCGAGGAGTGGCGGCAGGAGCGATGGTGCGGCGACCGGTCGGGTTCATGCGGCTGCCCCTACCGTCGGTGCTGCCATTGCGCCCCGCTGCAATTTCTCTGCCCTTGTCTCCTCGTTGCGCCTCGTCCTCGTCCTCGTCGCCTGCCGAAGACTCTGCGGCACCCGCCTCCCCTCCCGTCGACAAGCGTCCGTCCCCATGGTTGTTCGTCGGCCTCGGGAACCCTGGAACCAAGTACCAGGGTACCCGTCACAATGTATGTGATTTTCTGTTGAAATTCGGTGTTTCATGGTTTACAAATCCTCTGCCCCTCGGGAATTGGCCAACTCAAAGAATGCCAAGACCTGAGAGATGCATTTTGCAATACCAGTTGGAAATACTGCCTCTTCTGCAGGTAATTTGATCTCCGCCTGTTTCTAACTGGATGGATTCACTGCCTTCACAGGTCGGGTTTGACATGATCGACGCAATTGCACAAGCCGAAGGGATTTCCTTATCCACAATTCAGTTCAAAGCTTTAGTAGGAAAAGGTGGGCCAATAATGAGCTTCCCTGTTTCTTTGCCAGCGCCCAGGATTTCCATCTTCCTTTCCTAGTATAAGACAGCGGTGGCACGAGGATTCTTTATGTTGAATTCTACTTATCTCTTCAGCAGATGAAACATTGAATATGCATTTTGGACAGTGAATCGTCGAATCCGAACAGCTAACCAAAATTTGTATTATACAGGGCAGATTGGAGGCTCGCCAGTGCTGCTTGCGAAACCACAAACATACATGAATTTGAGCGGTGAATCGGTGAGGTTTCTGGAGAATTTAGGGCTGGTTCAGAGCCGTTCAAATTCAGACTGTGGTCTAAGTGTAGATTCCTCTTGAGAACACCTTCCAACAAAAGCTGCACGATGTTATAGTTTTGCCCTTCAATTTGGCTGACAGTGATATGGATGATACAGGTAAAACCTCTGGCGTCATACTACAAAATCCCAGCTGAGCGTGTTTTCACGGTAATATGTCCCATCATTTAAGAAGCTGGAGGTTCTTGTGGTAAACGAAAATATTGGAATGCGCTTATCATCTGAGCTGAGGATAGAAGTTGGCCTCCCCATAGTTAGTGCTCTTTCACTCTGTTAGTTTCGTCATTCCTTAACAATGAACTTTGGTTTCTCAGATATATGACGACCTTGACTTGGAGTTTGCAGTCATGAGACTATTGCCCAAGGGTGGGCACGGCGGGCACAACGGGTTAGTAACATCAACTAGGAAATTACATCTATGAGAGCAGCAAATATTCCAGTTCGCCTCACTGTATCAAAGTGCTTACATGTTTCTGTTCCCTGTAATTTACCCACTTCACCTTCAACAACTAATGTTGTTGCCTGGTTATAACATTGCAGGATGAGGAGTATAATTCAGCATCTTAACTCGAGAGATACCGCACGCCTGCGGATAGGTTGGTCCACGACTGTGCTTCCTAATGTCCTAAACTAATTAGATGCCAGATGTTTGCTGTGTTGACTTTTTGAATTTGCCAACAATTTCTTGAGTATGTAATTTTTTCGTGAGAAAATTTTACCAGAGGCTGTACCAACGTAACTCAGCTGTCAACCTTGGATGCTTTTAGGTATCGGCAGGCCTCCAGGGCAGATGGATACTCAAGCCTACGTACTACAAAAGTTTAGTGCTAGCGAAAGGCAGGAGGTAAGCCTTCCATTTCTCTATGATGAGTGCCGTGAATATTCCCAAGTCTTGGTGGGAGTGATCGTATTGAGCAGTTATCAAAGCACCGTGGATGCTATTGGACTCTCATAGTTTGACTTTGTGTGCTCAATTCTTGCAGCTCGATTTCGCCTTGGATCGTGGAGTAGAAGCGATTCGACTTGTCACATCTGAAGGTCTAGACAAAGCTGTGAGCACCTGGAATCAGGTGCGGAAGAGCAAATTGTCGAAGATGAGATACTCGAATATTGAGGCAAACTAGTTTGTTCCTCGTTTAAAGGGAAAATTAAGTTCATAGATGTAGGAGCTCATCAAAGTTGATGATTATGTACTATACACAGTAGATGCTATTTATGGAAGATCAGTGATCTTGTCAAGGGTAAAACCAATATTGCATCGATGCTCTTAATTATGGAGCCGCACTGCCGACCATATTGATGTAACCCCAGACTTGTTGCTCCATGGCCTATTCTTGTGATACTTTCATTTGCAATTCTTGCACTCGCTGTAGCGAGGCGCTTCCCTAGCTCTTTCTACCCAGGTTTCTATTCGCCCTGATAACTAGATAATGTTTCACACATATTTTTGATGCCCTTTCAGCTCAGTTGCAGCTCGTTCTTCTTACTGGACTGGATTAACTTTTGTAAATTTGCACCTTCATTTTGATTTGACTGAAACCGAAGACATACGAAGCTATCTTGCTGATGGAGGGCACTCAATTCTTGTAACCTCTAATATTGTTGGCACGACTGACAGTTCATTCCTCACAATTTTCACTCATGAATGTATTTTAAGCAAGATTGTGTCCGGTCTAGGCTTATGGATAATGGAGTAACAAATTCTTTCTCACTACAACTAAATACGGCAGATGTCCTGAAAACTGTGAAAGAGGGAGTGGTCTCAAGCAATCGTGCGTCCGAAGATAGCCCTTAGCAGTACTCAGGCCCTGGTGAAATGTGATCCTGACGACATGTTACTGAGGTGGAAGATTGTTGCCCTTGGATGCATATATCTCGTGAAGGATTGGCTTTCAGCACACCTACAGGATAAATGAAGAACAGCGGTCACCTTTGAGTGTTTTTCCTCCAATTGATTTAATAGAAGACATTTGGAGATCCACAGAAGATCTACAACATTTAATAATGTTTTGGTGGTGAGAAACGACGACGAAGGAAACAGTAGAAATAATTTCATAGCGAATGACAGCGACAGGGGTTCTAAACTAGCCAAGTTACCTAAAGCCACATGAAACTAAGAGAGCAAGTCCATCTCATGGAAAATAGCTCTCCTCTTGCAGCCTTCGAGTATCAATTTAACCAATCACATCAAGAACGGAAATAACACTACACATTAATACAAAGTACGCGTAGTGTATCAGGAAGTTTGATCCAAGGTTAGGTTTCATTAGACGTCAAAGCACATGAGACTCCATAATGGGAGTCTACCTACTATCAAACCTTAAGCCGGCTCAACTTTATGAGGCTACTAGATTACTAACCTAGCAAGCATGGCCTAATCATGGTAAGTTAACCATGGTTACTAATACATTAATTAACATTCACATAATTAATGCAATCGATATGTGCTATTTGAGAAGTTCTAGAACGTGAAATGATGGAACTATCTTCCCATCAAGAATATTGTACAGTAGCCTCCCACTTAAGTAAGCACCCGTTTAGTTACACATCCCAACGAATTCCTAGGAATTTTAGCATTTTTAGAGATTTCAAACTAAACTACTGTCCCATTCAATGCCCTGGGCAAGTTAACGCAAGGGAGAGAAATCTAACGATCAAGGGGTTGGGAAAAGGTCGAGATGCAAATATCTCGTTCCAATAATCTAATCTTTTGCTTCTTCATATCATGACACATCTAGCGCAAAAATGATCATATGATACGAAAAAAGTTGGGAGTATCATATGGTGTATGATACACATATTATTGAATGGCGATGTGAGAGCTAAAGGAAACAAATGAAAATAAAACCAAATAATGGCGTGATGCCAAAGATTCTAAAGATCTTTGGCACTCGCGACCGAAGGGGGTGAGAAAATTGTTCAATAATTGCTAGATGCATCATTAATTTTATACTCACCCACTAAAGCGAGTTTGCTTGGAGGATTCTACTTTGTCAGTTTTGAAATGATCTCACATTGTTGGGACTTGTTCAGGCACTTGATATTCAATTTCTTGGACATTTGACCTCTACTCAAATGATTTGGAAATGAAAATGTTAAGTGCGCATCTCCCGGTTAAGTACGCATAGAAATTTAGGGTTCAAAGTTTGTACTTAAGTGGAAGATTACTATACAATGATTTGAAAACTTCTCAATTAGTTGAAAATGTTAAGTTTATCCAAATGATTCAAATTTTTTTGGAAGTGCCGCTAGTTATCACTCACTTTGGCCTGATTAGCTTTCACTCTATTATACGCTGATCACTCATTGGTGGTCCCAGGTTATAGTTTCTGTGGGGTGGGTAACAACCTTGTGGATTTTATTTCTTTCATATCTTTGTCGAAGATGCCTTCGTGGCAAGAGCCACGTCGAATCCATGTATGCCACCTCTGCGTTTGAAGTCCGTTGTGAATGTTGTCTCCGAGGGTGGATGGAGTTTGTCACACCTTGATTCTCTCTGTAGAGAAGTTGTGTAGTGCCTGGTAGTAAAGGAGTTCGACACAAAAGCACACATGTTGGTTGCAGTAACAGGTGTGCTCATGAGGAACGGAACGGAGTATTTCATCCAACACGGTTCAACTCATCTGTTGGACCTCAACATGCTTTTGAAATGGCTATTTTTTCCGGGGCTCTGAGTGTTTTGGTGCTTCCATGAGAGAAAATTTCACAAGGTGCTCCAAAACCCTGAATTCAATCGTCAGCTCTGGCGAATGCGCTCCGGCGAATGCTAGTGCCGATGATCACGGCATCTATAGTGAGCATGAGCACTCGGTGGCAACAGCCTCTAGGTTCGAGGGAGGTCGTAGTCGCATGGCACATGTGGATCTGTCGCTGGACGTGACGGCGAAGGATGGTGAATGCCGGAACCAGTTCGCTGAAGCACGCAGTTCGTGCATAGATCTTTGATTGGGGCGGATCGGTGGAGAAGTGACCTCATTGCGTCGATGAAGACAAGTCAAGCACGAGCTGCGTTGTGATCACAGTGCTCCGTTTGATACAGATTGGGTTGGTGATGATTTTTTCCTCTGGTATGAGAACGCGGTTTCAAAATGGTACTTTGAATGGTAGAAGAATTTGATTGTCATTATGACCAGGTGAATGATGCTAGATTGAGTTGGATATTCATCAAAGGAGTGGCCTCTCATCCAAGTTGCAATTGGATTGTACTTCCAAGGTTCCACCTCGACAAATCAGACTCTTCAGTATGTATCGAAATGCTGAAGTTTTGTTTTGAGAGCTGGTTCAACACTACACATGCATTCAACTTCTTGTCAAGCTACAACCTCAAATGCGGAGGTGGCAGGCATGAGTTTGGCGTGGCTCTTGTTATGAAGGCATCTTTGATGAAGAAGTGAAAGAAGTAAAACTCGCAAAATTGTTACTCATCCCACAGAAGCTATAACCCGGTGCCACCAATGAGTGATCAGCATATGGTAGAGTGAGTGCTAATTAGTCCTAAGTGAGAAATAACTAGCCATCCCATTTTTTTATTAATTTTGTGAAATGTACTTTCATGTTATAAGGTAATATGTGCGTAATAGTAGAGAATCATGTCAATGTGTGTCACTTTGATCCATGGTGTTGTGTTTTTGGATAGAAAATACATCTAGATCATCATCATTTGAATTGATGATTTCCCTTAAAATTCTAGAATCAATTATCAGATTGTTCAAGGATATTGTATTTAACAAATTTACTCCATTGAACATCAAAATGAACTTCATGGATTTGTAGATTTTCAACTTTTGAATTCACTTTCACCATTGCATTAATAGTAGATTTATGTTGCTTGTATATCTTTCATAATGTACATAAGCATGGCATTGAATAACTATTATTTAACCCGCCAATATGTCAAGTGAAAGCTTTTAGATTTAAAGTATACTTTCCATCACTTTCCTTGCATTTATGGTGTATTTGAAATGCACATGTTAATCTTATGATATTCTTGAAGGTCATAGATTGTGGACTACTTAAGATTACTTGGTATCTATTGACTTCTCATTAAAAATTGTTAGTACTAGAAAGTAAAATAGCAACAACTAGATGGCAAACACGAAAGTACACACAGATATTGTGATTCACCCAAATGGAGGGTCATGTCCAGGGTTGGTATACGTAAATGATTATATTGCAATAGTGAAAAGACTTATACAGTAAGAAGTCTTTGAAGAACACCTCAAATCATGAAGACACTTCCTAGCTATCTTTAGCTAGTATCAATATTACTCTTGAACATGAATTAACCTCAACAAAAATTTCTTGTACATCATGAAAAAATCTTGGAAGAGATAGAAAACGATTTTCATTCATTTGTATAACTAGATAGTTTTGGTTCTTTTATGTTAAAATATGTGTTGTTCAATTCCAATTTTTTTTAAAATTATCAAGGTTAGTTCTCCTCAAAAACATTCAAAATATAAAATTTGAATGCAATAACATTAATATAAAATTATCTTATTCGTATCAATATGCACTTTTCCATTTTTCATATCTAATTTTTAATTCAAAGAATACACATTTTTCTACCAATGAGGATTTTTCTACATTTTTCTGACAAATTGGGTTTCTGTGTAAATCCAATGCCGAATTTACATTGAAAATCAAAGAATACATATAATAATAAACTTTGATCAGAAAAATATCAGCCATTAATTTTAATCAAGATCACAATGAAGTCATAGATTTTTTTTCATTTGCATCAATATGGAAAATCTCTCAAATTAATAGTTACATATTGAATCTGAAATATAAATTGGACTGATGTAGATTTTGAATTGTTCAGAAATATTTGATTATTTCAGATCTGTCGTAATAGGAATAGGAAGTATAAAGTGTCATTACCAGATTTGTCACATGGATACATTATTATACACATTTTATTTAATCCATCATGAGATAATAAATTAATCATTTTGCTATGTTGATGCATGATGATTATAAATTTGTTCACACAATATCATTTTTCAAAAATACATGATGATATCAATTCAAATATATTTAATTTTAAATAATAATGAAATTCCATGTAGTTGATTCAAATACAAAACTAATTATTTTTTCAAAAAACACATTACAAATTATTTTTTAATTTTCTTTTAACTTTACTATCTAAGTAAATATGAATATTAAATTTGACTAAAAAATTGAAATATTTGTTATAATTTTGAAGTTACACATGCTATAAGGATCGTAGAAACAAGATTCATTTTTGTTATCAAATTAATGATGATTCATTTATTTTTATAACAATCTTGCAAAATTCATATTGTTCATCAGTTTTTATTAATTTCTAAACGTTAAAGAATATCCAGTTTTATGAAATGTGATAAACCATTAATGATATTAGAGTTCCTTCCTTTTTTTTGTCATAGAGCAAGATCACTTGCTGTTCTTTATTCTTAAAATATGCGTCAAGTTTAGGTACTCTTTTCCGTTTTTATCAATATGTTAGATCCAACAACAAATCATGACAAATTCCTCTTGCTCCATGCCATTAATTTTCGCCTATTCTAAATGTAAAATGCTTTTTAAGACCATGCAAAGTCAATCACACAACCAAATATATGCTATTTATTGGCTACTTTTTATGTTGCATGGTTTGTACGTTCATGATAATTCATCGCACTTCTTGTCTAAAATTGTTGCATTTGTCAAGCACATCTGAATTAACTCTATTCTGATTGTTTAGTCGACACTTCTCTCATTTTAGTCTTTCTACATTTTACCATGGTTTGGAAATGTTGATTTCAACAATATTTTCTATACTATAATAAAAAAATACACTAAATTAAATCTATTACTTTTGTAGGCTAAATAAAGTAACAACAAGCGTTACACTAAGATACAAATTACATTAAATATAAAAGCTAAGCATATGTAACTACTAATATACAAACTTACACCAAACGTTTATTTTTTCCCTACCAATGAGGGTGACAGTACACATATTATTTTCAATACAAACTTCTTACGAATGACTATGGTAATATATATGTTTAGAAAACCACTTTTATATCTTTGACATGCAAGTCTCAAACTATATTATTAATTTCAAGTGCTATCAAGCATGTTAGGTGATGCTTGATGACCTCGTTGAAACTGTCGTTTATCTTAACTCTACTGCTTACGCAATATATCGTAGAATCTGATTGATTGAATCAGATCAGTGCATGAACTTTAAATAATTTTTTCAAAAATTTCATAAATCTTGAGTGGAAATAAAGTTTTTATGTTGTTGGCTTCTACTGATCGTTACAGTAACAAGCATAGCATGATAATAGAAAGCATTTGTTCTTGATGTCATACATTATTAGTACATCTAATTCAGGACAGAGCTTGACTAAGCAAAAATTTTGATCAAGTATGCAGCTTAACTCATATATAATGATTCACAAGAATTTGATTGAGTAATCCTCACAGGACAACACGATAATGAAAACTTATTCGACCTTTGAACTTCCATAAGTGTCTACTGCATAATTTACTTGCAATATACTCATGGAAAACCTGATCACCTTGTACTATTTTATGCCTCACCTTACCTTAAACATATTCTTTCCATTTGTTTCTTTCTGTATAAGGTTGCATCAGACATGGATTTGCCTTCTTAGTCTAAAGTCCGTTCCTTTGATTGTGATTTTAATTTATAAAAAAATAAAGAAACTAATATACAAGAATCATTTTTAGCTCAAAATGGGCTGGTTCGTCTTGAGATAGAAATAATGACCTGAATGGACTTCATATTGTGTCCTAATCATATATCGACCTCTGGACCCTTCCTTTAGAGGCGTGAGTCCGGTAGCCTTTGATCTTTCTACTATGTTCCGGTGAGTTCGGTCTGGTATACAAACTACGTGAGAGTTCAATATTTGACGTCGTGAGGGTGAGCATTGACTAAAGTCTCGAGAAAACATGTCATCAGAAATATTAACGTGGATTGGAAGACGACACGACTCGTCAGTCCTGTCATTCCTGTTTAATTTAGGTCATAGGCAGGCCTCTCTAAATACGGCATATACGGAACTTGAGGGCCAAAGTGCCGTATTTCGTTTTCAGAAAGTTCCTTATTTCCAACCAAAAGTATTTGTTGTCTAGCTGTAGAACCTACCAGAGTCACGTAACTAAAATTTGGGGTGGTAATTTTTGACAAATCTTTGTTGATGTAGGTAGTTTTACTAGAGAAACTTACGCAAATATTCAGCTAAATCTTTGCCGTGATCGTTTCTGGCAATTTCTTTGTTCATTACCGTTACTTTACTAGAGAAACTAATTGAGTACTTGACTAAAATTTTGCGGTGACACCTGATGAGCTCAACCAAGTTCTCATATTTTGTTTCCTTGGTTATCTCATTCACTTGTAATTTTGAAAACACAAAAATTTATTCAATTATTCTAAAATATCAAATAAGTCTCAAAATTTCTCGAAAAAAAAAATACAAAGATAAAATAGTGAACCCAGAACATCACGAAGTCGATGTTCTAGCTATTGACTGAAAAGTTTGATTCCAGGTTTTAAAAATAGATTCCTTCAACATGGAGTTTTTCGTAGTATTAGTTTCACCATATCCAAACACTTCAACGGTGTGAAGAGTGATTTCTCCTTGCTAAAATGGGAAAATATATTTAGAGATCAAAGATAACACCCATTTCTCTCGAGGTGTATTACATTGCCGAAAAATTCGGCCGAAAACTTGGAATTTTAGGTCAAAATTCGGCCGAAAACTGTAGAGTTCCTTATGTTCCGTATTTCGATTTGAAAATTATCCTTATTTTGTTGAGATACGGAACATACGGAATCCGCCCTATATAGAGAGGCCTGGTCATAGGAAAGTCCATCAACTGTACAATAAATAGCCATTATCCGAACTTGAGAGTCAAGCATCGATCACGACAGTGTACAAACTACGTAGTCTTCTCTTACTGCAATGGGGCTCCGTACTACGTCAAACGTCTGATCCAGTTACTACGACAAGCTACCCGCCCTTGCCGGCGCGCCCGGAGGAGGGAAGGGTCCATTAAATATACTTTTTAGCCGGGAGTCCACTTGAGACGGAGGACAAAAAATCCATAACCCTTTGGAAATTCAGAACCAAAATATTTGTACTTCACATGGCACGGCAGTTACGGAAGAGGGGTAGTTACCCTGACTATCAACAATCTATTTATAATTCAATTGAGTAATAAATATGTCAAATATAGTTATAAGAGAAGTTACTCCGAAATAACAGAGTTGCAGGATGGGTTCAAAGGGCATTACTCCGCGAATGATGCTTCATAAAAGCGGAGAAGTCAAAAATAACTCGGGAGCATGTGATATTTCGGAACCGGTAGCAGAGGGTTAATGACCGGCCCTGCAGAGATCGCGGAGAGACATTCCGAGCGGACTTTGATGCGGTGACCGAGAGGACAAAAAGTTCGTCGCTTGAATGCGTTTGGCGGCTGTCGAATGGAGTCCTCCGTCTGACTCCGAAGTTTGAATTTGAGCGCTCTATTCTTGAGCGTCGAAGTTGAGTCTTGGTGAAGATTCAAACTCCAAGAACTGTCACTGCTCGTGCGCAGCGTTTCCCCCGATTTTCCCGAAGAGATTTGCTCCCCTCGCCTGCGGCAGAAGGCTTTTGCTCACGGAGGCACTCGATTTGCATTGCATTGCATCGCATCGGGCTTCGGTGTGCGGCGGCTTCGTGCCCTGTTTTCTTCGGTCGCGCGGGAGAGCAGATTGGCGAGTTTGGATCGTCGGCCGAGTGTGTTTTTGCCGCCAGTTCGTGTGGGATAGGAAATGCTGTGTTGAAGGAGGAGTTAGCTCGTTCCCTGCTTCTGTTCATTCGTTCTGGTCGATTACGAAGGCTCCGTTGTGAAATTTCCTTTTGGGCAGTGGCGCTGGCTCTTGAGAAGAAGTGGGGGCTTGTGGATTGGGTTTTTGTGTGATTCTCGTCTTATATCGCTAGCCTTTCGGCATCCGTTGTCGTCCTGAATTGTTATAGAAGTCTGCTGGACGGAATTTATCTTGTGCACGATCGCAGTCTACCTAGCAGAGTTTTGGTGGGAAGTGGCACCGTGGCCTGAGCATGGTAAATCAGAATTTTAAGCTCTGGACATCGTTTTGCAATTTAGTTTAGTGAAAGGACAAGCTAGAGGGTTCAGGTCGGCATGGACGCACCGGAGGGGGTTTGTCTTAGCCAGCAGCTGAGCCAAGTACGGCTTGCCTATCCTCGGAACACCATGACCAATTCTACCGATTGGACAGTCCGTTCCCTAAGAGATGATTCTCAATCTACGTCCATGGCCCTGAGTCAGGGTAGTGGTCACGGTACGTGTCTCCAATCAAATTTTCAATTAACAGTTTCCTACTATCTATTTGCTGGATACACACCGGATTCTCACATCCTTTTGTAATTTGGTTGGAACCTGCTGCCCTTTCAGTTAACTTTCAAGGGGATTGTGTGTGATTGCATAATTTTAGCTTTTCCGTGCTTAGCGAGCTTCTTCCAATTTTGCGTCTGCATCCGGACTTGGGAAGTGTATTTCTACCATTCTGTCCATAGAAAATGTCCTTCGCTTTCTGGCTATCTTTTGCATCTGGACTGACCTTCCTCTATTGACCATGAAAATTGTTTAGAACGCCGAACTGACGGAGAGGACGGCGATGGCGACGTGATTCAGGATTTTGGAAGCCAGGACTTTTTCTGGTAAGCCAAGACTTTGTCCTGACTCACTTCATTCTGATGGAACCCATGTAGTGACTATCGCTTGCTTTGTGGAATTTTGTCCATCCAGTGTTCTATCTTCCAAGCGCCTTTGCGTTTCTGCAAATTTTTTGACCATCATGGGCCACAGTCTGTTAACACTGAGTTTCAACGTCTATGAATGCACAGCACGCCCGACTTCATCACCCCCGTTGAGCAACAATTTTGTGTAGATTTTGAAGGCTCCAAGGTAATGTTGTCGGCAGCCCTATTTTTTTTCATTTTTTTTTCAGAATCCTTTTTCAATCAAATCAGATAGAGATTGTCCACTGCCACGTTAGAAAACTGTTGTTTCAAAGTTGATCATTTGAATGAATGTTCACGATTCTCAAGACAAGCTAATATCCAGGCCTCCTCAATGAATTGTCGGGCTCGTTGTTCCATTACAGGAAAACATACCTGCGCTTGGCTCGGCTGCAACTATGACCCCAATGCGTGTTAAAAGACCGAGACCTGGTAAGAGCACTGAATCCGAGTCTAAGCCTTCGCGCGAGTTAACATGCCCACACGCCCATCGAGTTTATAACTGATCAATGTCGGTATTCCGTGCTCATGCAGATGTCTTTGGTGCTCTCTTGAATAGCGCCACGAAGGGTTGTAATCCACGAATTTCATCCCCAAATGAAATGTTCATGCAAGAAAACCCTGGCGAGGGTTTAGTGTCGTCTGGGAAGAATGTTGAAATGAACGGCCTAGACCTATTTCCACCCAACTCAAGAGCTAGATTGTCAGCCTTGCGGAGGCGTGTGCAATCGCCAACGTGTTTGAAAAATCCTTTCCTACCTGCAAGTGACGAGGTTTCCCCTGCACAAAGGCGGCCAAAGGCCTGTGGTAAGTCTGCGTCGAACTTCCTGCTCATCATGAAGTTCTGGTTTAATTAATCTAATCAATGATACAAAAGGAAAGTTAGATTTAGGATTCTGAATTTAGGTGTGAAATTCGTAATTAAATTAATCACGCATTCGTGCAAGTTTAAAGAGTTACAAATGTCCTCAGCAGGTCTTCAAGGAAACGTTGGAGGAAATGGCCTATCCCGTTATCGCGATGATTTCCACGAGGTCCAGGTAATCACGTGTCCATGGTAGTTGTTATGAAGTTAATTGGAATTTTGGAATCCCTGTTTTGAGTTAAATTCAACACTGTCCGCCGGACTGTACAACCTGATGAAGTCTCTGTTGAGCACCGGGCAATCTACTCTGCATCACCGAATTTACTCAGCTGAAAACTGTTCGTTGCAGGAAATTGGACGGGGCTGCTTCAGTCGAGTGTACAAAACAGTGAATCGCATTGATGGCTGTTTCTATGCTGTCAAACGTTCACATCGTCAACTAAGGCAGGACAGTGAAAGGTTAGATTTACATCTTTATTAAGACATGTATAGGATTAACACTTTCAATGAAGAACATCCATCGCCATTTTTTCGGATTGGCATATCATGTCACTAGGAGTACCCCTCTTGAGAGCTGTGTTTGTCCGTACGTCCGTCCACATCATAGATGTCAGAGTTGATGCGAATCTCATCTGTAATGTGCAGGAAACAAGCTTTGACTGAGGTTCAGGCATTGGCAGCCATAGGTGAGAATTGTTATCCACATTGTTGAATGCATCCATGTGATCGAAGACTGTGTCTATGGTTAGCTGTTGCAGTTCCTGTGCTTCGTTTCAAACTTGTAGTATTGCCATAGGTTAATGTCAGCATGCTGTACATTCGCTTTAGGTATTTCGCTTTCTAATACCTACACTTTTTTCTTGTATATCGATAAACTTTGGTGGTATGGAAAATTCTAACAAGCCAGTTTATTCAAATGTAGGAGCGCACCGCAACATTGTAAGATACCACACCGCCTGGTTTGAGAGCGACTATCTTTACATCCAAATGGAGTTATGTGAATGTAATCTGAGTGAGTTGAGAGCCGACGGAAAGCTTTCACTTGAAAGATCTTTGATCGATGTACTCTGGCAGGTGCGTAGCATATCCGTTGGGCGCAATAATTTCTTTCTGCCCCAAGCAAAAATACTGGCAATCTCTTGTTCCATTTGCAAATATTCCATTGTAATTTGAAAATATTTGATGATTCTGTCTTGTGTTCTGCTGTCCATTGCCCAGATTACTCAAGCCCTATCAGTTGTACATACTTGCGGACTCGCCCATTTGGACGTGAAGCCGGACAACATTTACTTTGGGAACGGAGCCTTCAAGTTGGGAGATTTTGGCCGTGCTACCCGGCTTGATGGCACCATCCAGATAGAGGAAGGAGATTCTCGGTATGCATCTTCTGAAATACTCAACGACGACTACAGTAATCTTCATAAAGCCGATATTTTCGCCTTAGGTGCCACAATGTACGAGCTATCGAGAGGACTCCCTTTACCTTCATCAGGAGTCCAATTTCAAGCCTTGAGACAAGGAAAGCTGGCGCTCTTGCCTGGCTATTCGCTACCTTATCAGCTTCTTTTGAAGGTGAGTCAGTTATCTTTGGCTATGGAATTGTTTTAAATGTATTGAAATGCCACTGTTGATGAAAACTTCAGTGTTACATAGAGGGGATGGGTTTAGCATTTAACTTGTTGACATGGTGTGGATCTTATGCAGGACATGATGAATCCTAATGCCAAACTGCGCCCTACAGCAGGTGACTTGCTCAAACACTCGATCTTTCGCAAGATTACAGGGAGTGGTGACAAGTGATGTAAGAATGAGAAGACTTGCGAGTGATTGTCACGAACTCGACGTCCAGAGAAAACAAAAACGTCGAGAATGATCTTCACAATTGTGGAATGTGACGAGCAAGTTTTTCCGGCTAGCAGGCATCGATGCAAACTGAATCCGACGATCTCTGGACTACTTTTGACAAGTTTTGGAGAGGAACGAACTCCGTTCCATTTGTACATTGTAAGTCGTGAAAATATCGTGTAACTAGCAATATCATGCATTGAGCGTAGAGTCCGCTCTCTTTTCAGTATGAATCGTTGCTCCACTCTCAGGGAGAGATGTCTGAGGTGTTCGGAGAATATAATGTTTACTACGGATGTTTGATAATGAACTCTCTATAGTGTGCTGAATTTGCCCTAGTGGACACAACGAGGTCACTTTTCGAACGACACATCGAGTTCACGTGACGTCGAGGAACTATCCATGTAGAATACAGGACTGAAGATGAACCATTTGGACAGATAGGCATCCAACACCAGATGTAACTGGCAGGTTTTATCTGTTACATGGAGGAAGCTCTTCCCGAGCTTCCACCTTTAATATATGAGCTACAGTTCCAAACTACTTTACCAGCTGTATGTACTGGCCATATGTGTACAATTCCCTGCGTCGAGTGCCGTTCCGTGATACAAAGCAAGCTCACGATGGTCTTTTCTACCTTTTGCATGCAATTGTAAATGTAGAGCAAAAATAATGTCCGAGTTCTTCAAACATAGTCGACATTCTTGAGAACTGGCCGGAGAATTATCTAATAGATTGTAATAGATTAGCCAACGTTTTTTTCAATATACTTCGAGACCCCGTCTAAATTGGCCACGAAAAAAGTGTGGAGTGAGAGTGATCATTAATCACGGTAAGTTCCAGATTTTTTCGGAACTTCGGTCAATGAATTAACTTATGCGGCACAATTTTATGGCTTCTGCATGTCTATGTTTGGATCCATTACCCAGACGCCTTGTGAGAGACCCCACGACATGGGGGAATGTGCATAAAACATTGGTTCATTATTCTGTAGAGGTAGCAGGAGTGAGGGAATTTTCCAACAAAAGAGTCTGGAGATCCCTAGACATGATTCTAGGGTGAAAACAAATTTGACATGCCCAAAGCCAAAAGATCAAAGATATATGCATTGACAGATAAGAACCTCAAAAGGATATGCAAAGACAAAGACCATGACGAAGACCACCCACACCTCAACCTACTTTCCGAAATGTTTGCTCGACCAGCAAGGATATTTCTGACTCAATCTAAACCATCAGCCACAGGTTTAAAAGACCAAACATTAGTTTGGAGAGGACAACACCAAACCACCTTCACCATCACAAAATTTCTATGACTCAATCTACTATCAGCATCATCTCAAAAGTTCCAACCAATAGCTTATAGAGAACAACGCACCACCAACGTTCAAGGTCAAGACTCATATAGAGGTGAAATATTCGGATGAGGACGCGCTGCTGGAATGGGTTCACATAAATGAAGCGTGAGTTAAATACTTTACATGGTAACCGCACAAGTCACTAAAAGTCTGGAACCTTATGTGATTTTTCAACCAAGTTGAGTGGTTGTGAAACAAGAACTTGCCCAGCAGTCTTAACCAGTTATTTTCTACCTCTGTAGTGCAGTAACAGTATCAAATTTGAGGCTGTGGATACTTGTAGAGACGATCACATTATAAAGTTTATGGGCTTCTATTATTTTAGCTGTGTCCAACGCGGTAAAGGAATTTGTTGTTCATTTTGAGAGTTTATAAATTTGGGTGGACCTGGTAAACTGGATGTGAATCTCGGCCCCGTGAAAAACATCATCAAGTTATACGTTAACAAAGTAAGAGTGAGGGAACCGGGCATCAGTTAACTTGCTCCTCAACAATGGCAATGCTCTCCAGAAATAAAGCTCGCCACAAAATTACATAAGCTACGATTGCAAAATCTTTCATTAGTGTATACAATGCATACAAAGTGACAACTCGTCCTCTTCTCTTCGGCCATAAGTCTTTCATAGAACTGGGTCTATCAGTTGAAGAAAATCACATAATTTTGAATCTCCACAACATTAAATGTTGCGGATGATGTACTGTCAGGAGGATAGATCCTTCTAGATAATAAAACTACATTTACTCTAGTCCTGTTCAGTCCTGGGCAGCTAATACACATAAACGGTGGCTCTTCATTACTTAACACTTTCAATGTGCAGGAGTAATAATCGTTGAAATACTTTTCTTGTTGAAAATGTATGGCATGACTTGAAGAGAATGCGTATTCATGATAAGTAATTACTGCATCTACTCGGTTCGTACTTGCGTCCATGTGATGGAGAACATTAAACTAGTGTACAAACCCAATGGGGCAGGGAACGCAAACGAATTTAGGCAGTTTTCTATGAACCATGATCAGATGATGATGGTGTCTCAAGGGGGCTGTTGCAGCCAGCATCTCTGATTGCTGCTCACTAGCTCATGCAAAAAGCGTTTCTAGGCACTGTTGCTACATAATGAGGTGAAATGAATCGTACGATAGTGCGCACATGGTAACAATAGTCAGGGGAACTGGCCTCGCTCTCTTTCTGAAACTAGGAATACCTTCGTACGAAGCTTCTGCGAGAAAATTCCTCCAGTTTTGTAGAGAATCTGTTGCAGTATCGTAGAGTATCGTCTTGGCAGGCAGAAGGGTTCAATAGACAGGGCACACTTATGCCCGAGAGTGGGTTCCACTCCTCGAAGTAGAGGGTGAAGTGGGCTCGAAAAGAGATTCTCTGATGTAAAACCTGATCCGACGGATCGATTGGTCGAATGATTTGTTATGATGGGGGCGTGTGGTACGTACACGCCCCTTCCTCATGCCATGATACTCACTCAAGAGACATCTCCAGCTTTCGAGCCATACGCTGGAGCCGGGGGTTGGTGCCGTCGTGTTCGCAGGGTTGGCATCGCTCGCTCGCTCAGCCATGGGACGGGACGGAGGGGCAAGAGCAGGACTGGATCGATCGAATCAGTCGGTCATTCAGCTCGACCGACCGATCGATCGACTGTCATGTGCGTTAATCAATCCCATGCACTCCAAAGCTGCACCATCTGTCTTGCATACGAGGGATAATCTGCACCTCGCGCTCCCTGCGGATGAATCCCACCGGCGACGACTCTCGCTCGGTTCATGGCAGAGCCCGAGCTCGGATCGGAGCTCTCAGGCCAGAGACCGATCCGTCCCCACGCGATCGGCGGGAGGGGCGGCAGAGCAGAGCACCCGGAAATGGTCGAGAAGCGATGTCACGCGCGCTCGAGTCGTCGCTCCAGAATGCCTTTGTTGAGGCACTCCTCGCAGAGCCAGGCGTGGGCGGACTTCTGGTCCTTGGCCTTGTGGTAGCGCGCGCGGTACAGGAGGAAGAACTCGGTCAGCTGGTCGGGCAGCTCCGAGCTAAGAAAGTCCTCCAGGCAGTCCCAGGCGTCGGCCGGCGAGCACGACCGGCCTTTGTCGTCGGCCAGAAGGCTGTCGAGAACGGAGTCGCCGGTGACTGTGGAGGCTTTCTGGTCGATCTGCAGCGTGTCGAGAACGCCGGCCATCGACATCATAGCCAGAGGAATGTAGGGCCCGTCGGCGGTTTGCAGCTCCGGCACCACTCCGCCGGCGCTGGTCACCTGGATCCCGGCCTTGAGAAAGTACCAGATGGCCTTGACGGCGTTGACGGCGATGAGCCGGAGCCAGGCCTGATTGTCGCCGGCCACCGTCAGCTGGAATCCCGGCTGGTTGGGCACCATGTGGTTCGCCGTTCGCTCCTCGCACATCAGGTGCAGCTTCATGGGCTTGCCGACCATCACCAACCCGCTGATCCGGTGGCAGAGATCTCCGGCGATGAAGAAGGGCCGGCGGGGCAGCTCCGACAGCAGGTACGACTCCGGCACGCCGACGGTGCCGTCGAGCCCCAGGCTGATGGCCGTCAGCGTTTCGCGCAGGCTCTGCTGGATGGACTTGAGCTCCTTGATCTCGGCGCGTAGCTCGTCGAACGTCGTGAGCTTCTTGGCCGGCGCGTCGCCCGCCTCCGGCTGGAGGGACGCGCCCTTGGAGCGGTCCGGCCCCAGGCCCAGGTCCGTCTTGCTGCGCTCCAGTTTGGCCTGGGCCCGGTTCTTTGGGACGCCGGTGATCTCCTCGAGCACCTCCGCCACCTTGACCATGCGCTCGGTGATGGCCTTCGTCTCCTTCTGCACCCACTCGCGCACCTCGACGATGTCCTGCGGCGGGAGCAGGTCCACGGCCCACTCCGAGGCGATCTGCAGTCCCGCGTCCGGGACGGCGGGCCAGGTGTGGGCGTACAGGTCGCCCACCCGGAGAATGTCCACCGGCTTGTCGATCGACTGCTTGAGCTTGTCCTTGAGCTCGGACCGCGCCACGGCCTGGTCGTGCCGGCGGTGCGCCGACGACACCAGCCCCCGGGCGCAATCCGTCCGCAGGATGTCCACCACGAGCTCGAGGCCCGGCGAGCCGCGCGGCGAGGCGCAGAAGTCGCGCAGCTCCTCGACGATCTTCTTCGACACGAACTCCCACGAGTTGTGCCGCGACTTGATCGAGCGCACCAGCACGTCCATGTGGTCGCCCTCCTCGTCGTTCTCCACCAGAATGTCGTGCCCGTCCACCAGCAGCGATATCAGGTTGTACTCGCACATGAACTGCTGCTCGCTCAGCGCCAGCCGCTGCATCAGCGTCCTCCTCAGCGTCACCTGCCACAGTCACCATTCCTTAATTCCTACGTCGTGACACTTCCCATCTCTGGACGTTTTTCTCAAAACCCGTGCTAAGGGTATCATACATTGGGACTGCGAATCGCTAGTGCACAAGTCTCCACTGATCGCATTCCCTTTCGTCTAATTACAGTCACGACGACCATTCTTGTTGACGTTCAATTGGCCCAGAAAAGGCAGCCGCATTGGTATTGACTCTACCACGACACGAGGAAAGTGGTCCTCATGCTATCATGAGGTTTAAGTAAATGTGGGGATTTCAGAGCTTAAGCTTCGCTCCGTCTCCCGCTGGTGGTCAGCAGAAATGGGAAGAAAAGAGGTAGAATTTGAATGAGCTTAATAAAATGCAGCTGGAAGCAGCAACGAGTTGACGACCCGGGTCTGGACTCGGACTCGGACTCGGACCACGAGCTCAACTAGGGAGTTGTTCTTGCTACTAGAATGAGCATAAACTGGGATAGGACCTTAAGCTCTATCTCGCACCGATGGTCAGCTGACGTTTGCACTTAGAATATCGAAATGTAATTCCCAACTGGAAGAAGCACCATTCGACCACAGCAGAAGACACCTGGACCTTCATCTCGAAGAGACAGAGAGAGTCGTCCGACTACCACGAATGTAATGGAAAACACCTTAAGCTCCATCTACCGCAGATGCTCACGACGAATGAAAACTTGAATTTGGGATTGGCTGAACTGAATGCAGCTGGAAGCTGCACCGATTCGACGACAGCAAGAGAGACCTGGACATGGATTTGAAGGTGGATCAGATTTCGAAGCGTACCTGGAACCTGGAGAAGAATGCGGTGGTCAGGGCGGTGCGCTGGCGATCTTTGCAGCGCACTCGGAGGCCGAGGTACGAGACGTCCTGTACGGGCTTGGTGCGCAGCCAGCGGAGCTGGTGCTCGGCCTGCGTTTTGAAGATGGTCGGAACGAAGAAGGAGCTGTCGTCGCCCGACGACACTTGGTAGCACAGGTCGAGGTTCTCCATCAGGTCCTGCAGCGTCTGCAGGTCGAGCCCCGTGTACCCTTCCTTCTCGAGCGGGCTCAGAAAGTCCTCCTGCAGGAGCTTCTCGAAGTCCTCCCGGATCAGAAACCCGTGCTTCGAGCTGGCGATCCTCCTGCCGGGAGGCTGCTCGAAATTCTGCCCGATGCTGATCAGCCGGCCCAGGAACACATTGGTCAGCCAGTTGGGATTGACCACCATGAGATTGCTCTTGGGGAAGTGGATCACCGTGCCCACGTCGTGCAGGTACGAGGCCACAGCTCGCAGCACGCGCTCCCTCTCCTCCTCCTGCAGATAATGCCTCAGGTTCCGCAGATCCGAGTGCGCCTCCTCGCACAGCGTGGCGAATTTCTGAAAGGTAACGATCGGCTGCAGCTTGTTGGAGGAGGCCCAATTGACGAGGAAATTGCTCATCTGGCAGCAGGCGTCGGGCACTCGGAAGAGCTTCTCTTTGAAGAGCTCCTGGAAGCTCCGGTAGACGTGGTCGACGATGGGCTGCGCGTCTTCCTTGCGCCGGCCATTGATGTAGAAGAGGATGGGCGAGATGTGCACCACGTCCTCGAATTCCTTGCGCAGCTTGAAGAGGATGCGCTCGGCCCATTTGGGCTCGGCTCCGCGGACCTTGTCCTTATGAGTGAGCACGACCACCACGCGGGGCAGGTTCAGCCCCGTCACCTCGGAGTTGGAGGTGATAAAGCGCAGCCACGACAGAAACTCCTGCCGGAACGCCTCCTCGAGCTGCGGCTTCACGGTCTTGCTCTTGCGGTTGAAGAGCGAGAAGACGAAGAGGAAGACGCAGGCGCGATTCAGCTTCGGGAACAGGTACTCCTGCAGCGCTCGGAAGATGTCCTGCCCCGCCAGGTCCCAGATCGAGACCTGCATGGCGCGGTCGTTGCGCAGCACGTGGATGTCGATGCCCTGCGTCCGGGGCATGAACTTGTCCTTCAGCTTCTGCACCATCGACTTCTCCTGAGTCACCTGCAGCATGCAGTGCCCCAGCCTCGTCTTCCCTGTCACCACCACCAAATTGTCAGTCCCATTCCCACACATTCCCTTTCCATTCCCCACATTACGGACTTTTCGTTCGCGCTAAAATCTCGTCCCCACACGAAGCAGAGATTCTACAGGAAATCGACTCGGCCATTCTCGAAACACTTTCAGACATTTCACTCGATCTTCTGAATTATCGTCCCACCGCCTCCTTATCGACGCACGGTAAAATCACACGTAAAGTCACGCTGCTCGTCACATGAAGGCTTGGAAAAACGCTAGCTATGGATGGAGTCAGCACCAGGGGCAGGGTTCGGGATACCCGGACAGAAATCTCGATTCCACGGAGCTCCTCCGACTTCCTCTCTTCGATCGACTGACGATCGGAGGGCCATGAATGTGGTGGAACAAACGAACAATGAATGCCACTACGAATGAATGTAGCACCATGTTTGATAGAAATGAAACATGGCGCCAATGTGGACAATTCTTAAGTGGGAAATTCGACATTCATGGCAAATTATCCACATAAGAACCGAAAGGAACCAAATCCAAATTATTGAAAAAAAATCGCACGACATTTCTAGCGCCCTCCGACTCGGTCCTCCGCAGATAATCAAGCCGCAAACAATTGGCGCCAGACATTGCGCCCACATTGCGCCAGAGATCTCTCACTATTCCGCCCGAAGAATCAGAATATTTGTGACAGCATTGAGCGAGCAAACTCAATGTGCTTTCGAGCGATGAGCCCGCATTGTGTGAATGAGGGTGATCGGACGTGCGAAGGAGGGATAGGGAGGAGAGGGAGAGGGAGAGAGCTCATTGTACCTGCCTCGGGGAAGCCGCAGAGGAAGACGCGGCCGCATTTGGGGTAGGTCCAGGTCGTGCGCGCCAGGCCCTTGCGGAGCTCGGCCAGGTACGTCTCCTGGCGGGACTTGCGCCGGAGCGCCTCGCGCACCAGCGCGGCCTTGCCCTCGGGCTCGCGCCCCGAGAATTCAATCTCCTGCAGCGTGGAGTTCACCTGCAGCACGGCCATCAGCTCGCGGAACGCCTCGTCGTCCCAGAAGCAGTCGGACCCGAGGCGCAGGCGCTTGAGGCTCGTGTTGTCGCGCAGCGACCGGAAGAAGTCCTTCCACCAGAACCTCAGCTCATCGCGCGAGCGCCATTGCGAGGTGTCCCCGAAGTCGAGCTCCTCCAGCGGCGTGCTGGCCTGGATCCACTCCAGCACCGCGCTCCCGGCCTCCAGCGGCACGACGTCGCCATAGAGCGTCAGCGCCTTGAGCGTCGAGTTGCGCTTGAGCGCGCGGTAGAAGGTCGGCCAGGCCGCCGTCCAGCTGTAGCCCGTGCACTCGAGGTGGAAGCGCGTGAGCGAGGTGCGCGTCTTCAGCAGGTCCACCAGCTGCGAGAAGGCATCGATGTCGAGCCCGACGCCCTTCTTCACGCGGTCCTCCATCTGCACCACCGCGTAGTTGAAGTAGAGCTTGGTCGAGTACAGGAAGTACACATTCGTGAGCTTCAAGCTCTGCAGGCTCGTGTTCACCTGCAGCGACGAGAACAGATCCTTCCAGTCGTCGCTAGGCACGCGGAACACCAGAGAGTCCGGGTTCAGCAGCTGCAGCTCGCGCAGCGACGAGTTGTCGCGCAGCATCTGCGGCAGCACCCCGAGAGTGCTCGTCCCGCCGCCATAGACGCCCACCAGCTTCTGCACCGACGTGTTCGGGTGCAGCCCCGTGAAGGCGGCGGTGAGGAATCGGTCGAGCGAGCCGGGCTTGAGCGCGCCCTCGGACCCTAGGCCCGCCACGCCCCACGGGAAGGCTGCGGCCTCGTCCGCGCGCCTTCGCTGCTCCAGGCTCACGCACAGCTCCTCGAGCGCTTGGTGCCGCGCCACGGCCTCGCCCAGCTGCTTGGCGCCGCCCTCGTCCATCGAGATGTACTTGAGGTCGAGCGCGCGCAGGTTGCGCGCCGCGGTGAGGATCACGCCCACGTGCCTGGCGCCCTCCTCGTCCCCGATCGGGTTGCGGCTCAGGTTCAGGCGCTGCAGAGTCGACGGGCCATTGGCGGCCAGCGCCGCGGCGATGTGCACGAGCCCAGCCGCGCGCATCTGGACATTCTCCACCGACAGCACCTCGAGCGTCTTGATGCTGCGCAGCACCTCGGCCAGCAGGATGCAGCCGGCGCCCGTGCCCACCACGGCCATCCACGGGCGGAAGAAGGCCAGATTGTCAAGCGTCAGCTCGCGCAGGTTGGTGCTGCCCTGCAGCAGGCGCAGCGCCGCCTCGAGCTCCGTGAACGAGAGCTCGATGTTGAGCCCCGGCGAGTTGAAGTGGTCCAGCGACCGCAGCAGGTCCACCTTCGTCAGGTTGCGGAACCCATTCCCCAAGTTGTGCAGCACCTTCAACCTCGCGTCGCGCCAATTCTCCACCGGCAGCAGCTGCACAATCTTGTGCGCCAGATCGGTGGCCTCCTCGCGCGCCACCTCGTTCTTGTCCCGCAGCAGCTGCTGCAAGATCAGCGGCGTCCTCAGCATCTGCGCCTCGCCCCCGCCCCCCGTCGTCGTCGTCTGCTGGGGGCTCGTCGCCGCTGGCAGGGCTTTCGAATCCGGGCCTCCCCCTCGGCCGCCCCCTCTGCTCGCGCCATCTCCCCCTGAGCCACTGCTGCCCGCCGAGGGCGCGGGCGAGCTCCGCGGATTGAACACGGGACTGCTGTCGATCTTCTCCGCCGGCTGCTCGGAGTCGCCCCCAGCCTCGATCCTCTCGTCCGAGGGCGGGATGGGCACGTACCACGAGAATGGAACCTTGGTCTTCCTGCCGGACGAGCCGGCGGCATTCATCGCGTTCAGCCTCGAGAGCACGCTCTCGCGCTTATCGTAGAAGACGCCCTGTTCTCGCTGCAGGGCGGCGCCGGGTGCCGCAGACGACTTCTTCGGCGACACATGGTCCGGAGCTCTGGCATTGACGATGCCGATGTTGTGCGCAATGTTGATGTTGTTGTTGTTGTTGGTGGTGGTGGTGTCCTGGGGCCCCGTCGTCGTCGTCGTCCCTGTGTGAAATGAGCCATCGAGGTCCATGGCTTCCTCGGACGATTGATCGCCTCCTTGCCCCGCCCGCCCCTCAGACAATTCCAGTCCAGGAGGGGGGACAAGCTGGTCACGCTGCGCTCAGCTCGATCAAGAATTGATTCGCCGAACACGACGGCTGCATAATTACAAAATTGATAACAACCAGCTCCAGAATGCCGACCGTGATCATCACGATGATTGGTGTGATGTCGCTGTCGAAGCCGAAGCCGCCAGCGAGCGGATCGGACACGAGGTCGTGCTCGGAGCTTGCAAATGTCCAGGCCTCGCTTGCAACAGCGGCAGCGGCGGCGGCATCGGCAGGATCGAGAGCGAGTCTCGTGGAGGCCACTGCCTGCTGCTCGCGGTGTCCGTAGTCCTCCTGGCCAGCCCCACGTCCCAACACTCCATCAATCTCCTCCTGCTCCGCCACTACTCCCTTCACACAACCCACCAGAACAATGTCAGAGCCCAACATTGCACATTCGATCTCTCAATCACTCACTCAATCATCAACTGTAGTGCACTGGGCTGAGATGGGAGTGGGTCTGGGATGGGATGGAATGGGAAGGGCTGGGCAGAGAGCAATGCAATGGGATGCTAAGCGAGGGATTGTAGGGTGGAATGAACATTTGGCTCTCGGGTGACAAGACAGACGTCCACACAATCATGCGCAGCAGAAGCAGCTCGGGGGGTGAAATGCCATGAGATCTCGAGGAAAAAGTGCAATGCTCTGCATTCAGGGCTCGAATTACTACCGGCGGCTAGAAGCAAGAGGTGATTAGACCGCAGTCCACTCCGGAGCAGAGCAGCGTAGTGGACCGGAGAGAGCGGTGGCGCAATGCAGCGCGGCACCGCTGGAGCTGCGCAGAGACCGGGGTGCGAGAGATCAGACAAGGGCTCGATCGTTGTGAGACGTACAGAGATCAACATATAGACAGATGTTTCGTGCGAGTACAGCAGCACAGATGGAATTGTGCGCCCCGGCCAGCAACGCACACATCCAACTTTTGCCAGCTTTGTCTCAGGACGGCGTATAATAAATGCTAGAGCCCAAAAAAATAGGACCGACGAATAAAGAGAGGAGAAGAAGAATCGGAATAAGACGACGAACGAGCGTTAACTAGATGGGCAGCGGGAGCAATTTGGATAGTGCAAATGGAACGTAGCAGTAATATCATCAGGCATTGAGAGTTGAGACTCCATCCCGTCCAGTTCCATGTCCATCTCGGTTTCTACTTCTAGCTCCACGAGACGTACAGTAATGCAACGACAAAGAGCCCGAGGGGCCGGGGCATGGAATGGAGCTCAGTCAGGTCTCCACAAGACGAAAAGGCCGCAGCCCGGGGCCATGGCGGAGAGAATTACTACACTGTCTGGCAACTTTTAAGCTTTGGTAGTTGAACCGCTTCCAGCTGAAGGGGTCAAGTGACTGGATCGCGCTGAGCTTAAGAGATCTGCTGCTACTGCCGGAGCTGCTGTTGGTGCTGCACTGGGCGGAACGAAGACCGCGCAAACGCACAAGAGCCATAGCCAAGGGATTTGCGCACTTTCTATCGGCTTTATGTGGAAGGGAAAAGAAAATCACTGACCCAGAAGCGCCAGAAGTTCCAGATGAGGGTGATATCATTCGTAGAGTTTTAAAAGATTAGATTGGGCCCACACGTGCAGCCCGTCAGGCTGGAAAGTGGCAGCACCACAGTGTTTGTCACTGCCCCAGAGAACGCTCGAGAATGCTTCTCACATTGATCATTACGGCTCAGATGCCTCTTCGCATCGATCGTACTTCGCCCGCATCACATCGTTCCCTGCCCTGTCCTGAATCTGTAGCACTCTGCTGCCCCTGCTCACGCTGATGCTGCTTCCCTCCCCTCCCCTTGCCCTCGACCCCGACCCCGACCCCAAAGCCAACATTCATGCACCACTTCTGCACACTGTACTCCAATTTCTTTACGCTCCAGCTCCAGTTCCAGTTCCAGCTGCAGCTCGCTCGCTAGCTCGCTCCGTCATGTCCCGTCCGTTTCCTACCTCGACGACGCCGAGGCCTACCGCTACGCTAGTCCAGCTGATCCAGAACTAGAACTGGAACCGGACACCGAGCCAGAGCCAGAGCCAGCTGAGATTCTAGCTCCCGACGTCTTGTGATCCACTGGTCCCCTACTTTCCGCATGGCAGCAGCTCGCTCTCCACAAGATGCCAACTTTCCAAGACGGTTGACGGCTCCAGTGCTCGTCCCGTCTTCGCGCCGGGCGAGAGTGAGGCCGAGGCCAAGCGAGCCTACATGAGCCCCGTAGTTATAATACTCGAAGGCCTCCGCCACCCAGCAAAACAGGGAGCGAGGGAGGAGGGAAAAGAGCGAGAGGGGCGCGAGACCTGGAAGCTAGTGAACTCTGGCGAATGATGCAGTGAGGGGGCGGCTGACTGTGAGTGACTGAGCCTCGCGAGTCGAGGGAGCTCCTCCCATTCGCACCCGATGAGATTCCTTCCTCCCGGCTGATGTCGAGTCGACGATTCTGGAGATCGTGACTCCAAGTGACGGGATGGATGGGTCGGGTGAGATTCAGATGTAATGAGGTTTCAGGAGGCAGCTGTGGATTCTGCTGCGTTATTACAGTCGGAGGGAATGGAGGCAGGGAGAGAGGGAAGGGGCCCTCAGGGACTCTCCCCTCTCTTCCCTTCCCTGTGACAGCTATGCGCGACAAACTCAAAGTGATCCTGATGACTGCTGGTGTCAGACCATCTGCACCACAGAGTATCAACGGAAGTGGCAGCACATGCTACTGCCCAGTACCACTCATAAGCTCTCGACGCCCCGCCAGCTCCAAAGCTTTCGTGCTTCCCTCTCTTTAGTACTCCCCGCCATTCCTCCCTCTCTCGGAGCTCATCTCTCGCCTGCATCGTAGGCCGATGCTTCGGCGAGGGTACTACTCTGCCTACTGCTCTGCCAGCTCCCCACAGCATTGCGCCCACAACGACTGGACCGGGCTGAGCTGGGCTTCGGTCCCTCGTGCAAGGCCATGGACCGGGAAGCGTCGCTCGCTGCGTCGTCGTCGCCGTGACCCGTCATTCCCGGTTCGCGCCGCTTCAGACCAGCGCATCGTCGTGCGCCTCAGAGCAGGCTTGCCTGATTGGCAACCGGCGTCGACCTCCGCCTTTCTAATTCGAACCGGCTGCTGCGAAATGGCGCCCTTTCCACATCCGGAAGCGGGTCCAGTCAAATCCCTCCCTCTTTGGGCCAGTCCCTCCCGTCCCGTCCTCCATCGCCGGACGTCGCATGACCTTTCTTTCTTGTCCTCTTCCGGCTCGTCTCTCTCTCCGGCAGGCCCGCCGGTCCGTCGCCGACCCTTGTTGGCATCATCGGACCGGTGATTGGGCAAGAGGGGAGCTCCAGTGGCGAGTGGATAGGTCTTGCCAATCGATCATGTCCACGTGGCTGGATGTGAGGGAACGTGATCCTTTCGCTGCTGTCATCGGCCAGGTTTCGGGCTCCACGTGGAGGTTTTTGTCGCTTGTCCATGTAAGCTGACGGTGAAGGGACGAGCAGTTCGCGGCCAATGTTCGCAGAGAGCGAGAGATTGCGAGAGCGAGATTGCGGAGCCCGAATCTATGGCGGAATAGCGACTCGTCGTGCCGAGGCTCCTGTTGCTGCTGCTGCTGCTGCTGCTGCTGCTGCTGTTGCCGCAAGCTCTCACTGTCGAGGAATGGCGCCCCGCGCGAATTCCCTCTGCTGTCCGTAAGGCTCAGGTGAGTGACGCAGCTGCTCTTCTTCCAGTCGTGTCCAGTCCAGTCCAGCTCCATCCCTTCCTTTCCCTCCACTTCCAGTTCCGATTCCTCGTGCAGTGAGCTCAGATTTGTTTCGTTTGTGGAGCACGGGCGATCATTGCGATCCAATTCGCGTCGTTCTGAGCTCGAATCTCCAGTCGAGGAGTGTCGAGACAGAGAATCGTTCCTGTTATGGAAGGTGTGAGCACGGAGGGACGAGGGCGAGACAAAGAAGAGAGAGGGTCGTGAGTGTGCATTAGAGCACTGTGCAGGCAGTGTGTGTGGTTGTGGAGGGGCAAGTGGTGCATCATAAGCGTTCGTTGCGTGCAGCTGTCGTGCTCGGCCATAGCCGCCACCTCGACGGCAGGCAGACGCTGGAGAAGGACGGTGTGTCAGCTGTTTGTGGGGAGTTAGACCCAATGTCGCCATGGCAATCCAGGGCTCTCGCCTCGCCTCGCATCGTCGTGTCTACTGGCCTTCTGTTTCAGCTTCGAAATTGGGAGAATTGCTTCAGCACTCGACTCCCGAGCGGCTCCGGTGCCGCACATGAGACGCATTTGTCTACAATTTATGGAAATAAATCTAATTTTATGCTTGAAACTGCGGACTGCTCGCGAACATTGACAGGGCCGTGTTGTTTTTCAACCCTTTTCGGTGTTTTCGACTCATTTCCACTTGGCAATTCAGCCGATTGCTCCCCTGTCCAGCTGTTGAAACAATCGAGTATCTGGTCGGAAAACACCTGCCAGTGTTTGACCCGAAATTTGGATGAGTAATGAAGATTTTGCAAGGGTTTCGCAGTATGGAAGATGTTAAATGGTTGGAGAAAATTACTGAATTGAAGAAGTGCAGAGACAGTGAATTTACATTCGGAAGTGGGCAATGTTGTGCTGATTTTGTTTCGGAAGACTCATTTTACTCACCTAGATTTTTCTTTCTTTTCCCCGTGAATTGTGAAGGGAATGGATTCCACAAGTTGTTACACTGATGCGGGTGGCTGATTCAGAAGCTGCTCTGCACTGTGGACATGTCGATGGTTCAAATTCACTGAGACGCAAATTCTTGCTGGAACAGGAACGCAGCACTGGGGCGCACATGCGGGATGGGCTAGAGGAAAGGAAGCAGCTGTAGGCCTCGTCTGGGAATAATGACTTCCATTTGCAGCCCCCATCAGCGTTGCTGCCACAAGATGCAGCAGTCGTATGTGTCAGGCCACATGGGCGGAGGAAGCTGGAAACACCCACAGAACAGCGTTTGTGTAAACTCGGCCATAAAAAGTATCCCTCTTAGAACCAGAGAATGTGTACAGCTTTGGAAAACCTCGTGTAGCAGCTATGCAGCGTGCAGCCAGCCTATGGTGTTGGGGGCAGTTGTTGAAGGATACCCTCTGCAAGTAAGCAAGGATGTGACGGTCAGCGCTGAGGAATTTTCCTCGGAAGTGGCTCCCAAAAAGCGCAGAGGACGAATTGCGAAGGAGCAAGTGGACCAGAAGGTGAGTGTGTCTACTTCTACGATTGAAACATCAACCACCACGACCGTCACCACAGTTTCAGCAACACCACTCGCAGCTGCAGCGGCAGCAGCAGAAATCGCAGGGTTGAGGATTTTTGAAGGGCATGGATTCACCAAAGCCGAAGTGAAGGTGGAGATGAAAACTGACAAGTGCACTCTTCAGCTGTCCGAGATGGGGGTGGAAATGCCAGCTCTGGCGAGGTGCTTCGACCAGTCCAGGGGTGTTCCAGAAATGCAATGGCAGCATGTGCTGACGGTTCTATCGGAGTTCGGGGTGAGTGACAGTGAGCTGGTGGTTATCATCACCAAGGAGCCCAGTGTTCTGGGAGGAGACGCAAATTCGATGAAGCAACTATTAAATTTTGGCGTAGGGCAGGGCATAGATTCTGCTGTCGTAATCTCGATGTGTAAAATGTGGCCAGGTTTGCTGTTCCAAAGCGTCGACCATGTCACTCAAGTGATCGACTACTTCACATCCGTAGGTCTGTATAGAGACGAGCTGATCAAGATCATTAAACTGCGCCCTCAGCTCTTAGGACACCAAATAGACCGAATAAAATACGTCGTGGATTGTCTGCTGGACTGCGGAGTGCCGGTGGAGGATCTGCCCAGAATTATAAGAAAGGCACCGGAACTCTTCTCCAACACTACGTTTTTAAATATGGCCTCCAACTTGGAATTTCTCGTCAGCATGGGTCTGGGCGCAGGGGCTCTGGGTAAGGCTGTGGCACGGCGGCCCAATCTTTTGAACTACAGCTTAGACAGTATGAAGAGTACGGTTCAGTATCTTTTAAGCTTTATGAAACCATGGGACGTGCCCAAGCTCATTAGAAGGTATGCCGAGGTGCTTGTGCTCGACCCTCACAGAAAGATGCACCCCATGATCAACTACCTGAAGTACCTCGGGGTGAAATCCAAAGACATCGGCAAAGTAGTATTACGTAGGCCCCAGCTGCTCGGATACACAATCCCGGGACTTGAGCCCAGTGTGAAGTGTCTCATGGAGTTCGGTGTAAAGCAAGAAATGATCGGAAAGGTTATCACTACTGCTCCTCAGGTACCTCCTTCTTGCATCCAGGAATTCTTCCGTGCCTTTGCTCCACCGCTGTCTATGGGTGGATTTTGGAGCATCGGCTTGAATCCATGTCGAAGACGCAGCAAAATGACAAACTAGACATCTTGGCACATTTGCCACGTTTTAGATCAAGCAGATCTTGCTCACGTATTCTCTAGATCCATGAGCTACTCATTCTAGAAACTATCAGAAATCAAATTTATGCTCAGCAAATTCAAGTTCTTCACGCCAGGAAATGTCCGAGTACTTACCGTGAGTGAGCTCGCTGTGACGGACAGTCATCACGAGGTTCACATGGTGATGAAAGTGATGATCAGTCTTGAAAACGTTTACCTGGTGCAGATCTTGACCTTGAACGTGGACGACAAGCTTAGGCCAGTGGTGGAGTTTTTCCGCTCGATGGGACTGAACAAAGAACGCGACATAGAGCTGCTACTAGTTCGGAACGGGCAGATCCTTTGCTGCAGCATAGAGAAGAATCTGCGGCCCAAGTTCGAATTCTTACTTGGTCTGGGTCTTAGCACCACGGACATCGCCAACATGATTGTCCTCTTCCCGTCGATGCTGGGCCAGAGCATCGAGGGCTCCCTCGGTCCCAAGTACAATTACTTGGTCAACGTGATGAAACGATCAGTAGATGAGGTTATCGACTTTCCCCAGGTGAGCAATCAACAATCTCATCTTCCAACTCCAAACCGTCGTGGTCAGCGAGAGGGATATGCTGCAGCATCAATTTTCCGTTTGTGTGTCGACTAAAGTAATGCATGGGGTGTGGAGATTGACGACTTCGATTGTGTCATGTGCTCATCAGTACTTTGGATATAGCTTGGAGAGAAGAATCATTCCCAGACACGAGAAACTTCACAGCAAAGCAATATCTACCAGCCTTCCGTCGATGCTGGCTTGCGTGGATCATGATTTTGAGGTGCGGTACCTGCAGGGGAAACCCCCTACTCGTGCACCGTATAAGGCCCGCAGGAAAGTCCTTAGCTAGAAAAGAAAATGAAAGTTGGCACACTGTTCTATTCCATTCCACTCCTTTCCATACATCTCCTTACCTTTCCAATTCCATTCTGTCCCTTGTAGATCTCATGCTCAGCTCTTGACGGTGCCATTTTTGTGCGTTAAGCACTGTGAAATCCATGTTTGAAAGAAAGCCCATCCTACTCAATAATCATTGTCGTCGTCGTCATCATCATCATCGTGCATGCATGCTGTGCAAAAGCCAGTTAGTCAGTCTGTCTGTCACCATGATTTAAAGAAAGGATTAAAGAGAAATTTGTTGAATGGGCCAATCAGTGGTCACGGGTCCAGGGAATCTCTTTCGGTAGCAGATTGCTTTCAGCGAGCTGGTTTGTCGTAACCAAACATGGCTTTTCCTCTTTCTGTCTGCACTGCGGGCACCTTGAATTCTGCTGCGGCTGTCTGTGTTTTCTTCGCTTATGGTCCATCCACGATAACACACGCTTTTCGCTTTCCTCCTGCCTGCCTGCCTGCCTGCCTGCCTTCCTCACTCCCTCCCTCCATCTGCCCTCCCTCTTCCTTTGCGCCGTTCAGCAAGCGAACAAGGAGATATTTTATACAGAGATATTTTGGACAGAGAGGTATTCCATCAGCATGGATTGCGCGTGTCCGAAACTTTTTGCCCTCATTATCATCTCCTCAATTCTTCACGAATCTTTCGTTTGGTTCTCTCGGCTGAAAGGGTTGTCAACTACCTGGACCTCGTTGGACGCATTTCCTGCAGCAGCAGCTTTTGTCACATGCCCATCTTCTAGCAATGATGCCAAGGTGGAAATTGCGCTATCGAGAAGTATTCTAAGGCAGGAATCTTTCAATCTTCGAAATTATTATGTCGGCTCAAATATAAAGTTGCACATCCGTCGAGCTTCAGACATCCGCCGACTGAACTTGCGGTATCCGCTCACACAATCTTGCGAATCCTTGCTTCAGTGCCGAATGAAATGAGGCAAGTCGGAAATCCCCTACAAAGTACTTCCTGGCTCAAACTTTATATCTGCACAGCGCGAAAGAGAGAAACCTCACTGCGCAGTTATCGCCCTGTTACCTTCGAAAAGAGCAGGTAGGTGAGTTATCGTTTATGTCTTTTATTCAAGCATCTTTCATTGTTCAAAATACGAAAACCATCTCGAAACCAAAACTGAAGATGACACTCGGCTGGTTGGGTGCCGCCGACCTTCCCATAATAAACATTGCCTTTTCTCTGGATGGGTGGAAAGACGGAAATAGTCTCACCCAAATCTCGTAGCTTACAAATTGATGGGGAAGACTCTGTCAAAGAAAACTATCTCTACAATAAGTAAACCGCAGGCTCCGGGCTAGAGCTAACCTGTCGATCCACAATTTCCGTGACGGGGAGACTAACGAGTACAGAGGACTCACATATAAGCTGCCCTGAGGCTTGGAGACTGTGTGCCCCCTCTCGTCCAAAAAGAATTGGATTGTTGCGCATCAGGCAGAGTGGGCCGAACGGATTGTGAGGCACGTGGACGAGTGGATTATGGAAAGTAGCTCTCGTTCTGTGAGTTGGTCGGACACTCGGGTTACTATTTGGCCAAACTTGGCAAGCTGGGGAATGTGGGCAGCATTGGGGCTGCCAGCTGAGTTGAGCACGAACAGAATACAGGTCACGCAACATGCAGAACAATGATTGTCAGTGAATATGGTGATTCGGTTCAGAGCTACGCTAGATTCATTCGTTCGGAACTTTTTCCTCATGTCTGGACTATAGAGCCTAGTTCCTGACTTGATGTTATGAACTTCGATTCCCCATCTTTTTCTTCCTCGGCACTCCTGCATTAACTACAACAGCATTACTATTTTCAACCTTGGGCAATCATGTGTTCCACAGTTATCAAGTGGAGCTGAATCTATTGCTCCTATGCATCTTCTATCTGGGCTGCGCCTGCTGGTGATACAACTGTACGTCCAACCATGGCCCTCATCCACGTGGCTTTGACTTCGAACTGGCGGGAAGTAGCTGCGAAGTCGTTCCACAAGGTATCCTACAAAAACTTGATGACAACAAATATCGATCGACCTACTCAATCTTTGCACATTATTGAGAGTTCCTCTGAGACTGTCGTCACCTACTTTGCTATGTCCTATTTCTCATCCCTCCTCCTTCATTAAAAGGAGGGGGGCGGACACAGAGCTATACACATCTGTAGCTGGTTGAACTCCGCCCTACAACATGGCGAAACCTCTCTCTTACATTTGCCACCTCCAGTTGTGGTCCAGGATATTCATATCACCCTTCTGTTCTGAGTCATCAAGTGCTCAACATCAGTCGGTAGGTCATGTTTTAGAAGTCCAGTATTCGCCGTCCATTTCAAATGAGATGTTCCGTTTGCAATCGAGTGCTGTTCCGTCTTCTGGATTCCCACTGTGAAACTTTCATTACGAAGTCAGCCGCCTCCATGTACCAGTGCTTCGTTGGGTGGACCAGTGGAGAGTATCATCATTATGATTTGTGATGCTTAGTCCGATCTTCTACCGTTGGTTGCTCGGGGTCTGGATTCTTAACTAACAGTAGACAACAAACCGCTCAGTGATTATAATACGAACATAATGGAAACATGATATATGACTGAGCAAATCTCTCATACCGCTGAAACGGTGCTGTCAGGACTTGATCTCTTATATCTGTGTCCACCATTACAACGAGGTACACAGGTCTGGTAAGTTCCAACAATCTATACACTCCGTCAGCGCACAAAAGAGTCCACGATACAGTTAATTATGACACCGAGTTCTAGACGTAGCATGACTCTGCGATTCAGCAACGCATACTTTTGCGACGTCCAGTTCGAGCAACACCCTGCTTTTCACTTGACATCGTGCTCTGAGCTCCACATATGACAGTAAGTTGCGATAACCAGGGCTCTGAATCTTTGGGCGTGACATTTTCCGCAAAAAGAGACAGAAATAATTCAACAGGCCTTCAAAAGAATTTTAGAGCCTATCTTCGAAGGTTATGTTGTCGGGGTTACAGTCCCTAGGAACCAGGGTCCACAGGCACATTTCAAGATTCCAAATTTTGAGATTAAACGGCGCTCTACAATTAATGGCTCCTCCCTTCACCAAGAAGCGGATACCACGTGCTCGGAGAGTCGTATCAACCTGCTTTCGCATCATAAGGTGTAAAACAGTAATTCTTTTCTCTCATTATCAAAGTCATGGCTTGATCAAGCCATTAAAATCACCTGTCTTAAGGACGTTATAGACGTCATCTAAACATAAGCCAAGCCTTTCAGAATGAGGGATACAGCAAGAACTCTGGGAACGGATACTCAAGTATGCCATAAACTTCTAACATCACCTGAAACCTCTCGGAATGAACCTCATCACATCTTTAAACACACGAAACGAAATACAGGGCAGTGCACAGTAGCTCTTATCTTTCATTTCACCATTTGACTCCTCTTCGGAATGAAATTAGGAGACGAAGAAACTACGCAACCGTACTGAAGCACGGATTTCCCAGCAGTGATGAGGACCCAACGACTACTGAATGCGATCCAATACAGATCCAAAAAGGCGTACTAAAAGGGGTCATATTATCAATGGTGTCAAACGACAATCAAAAGGCTCTCTAGATGAATATAAAAGGGACGAGGAGAAGATCAAGATTGGTGTTCTCCTCGTCTCTAGCAAAAAGGATATTACGAGTTAAGTCACACAGCCTACAGAAAATTTCATGATCAAAAATTTCGCTGGGGAGTGAAAGGTCTGGGGTCCACTAACGCCTTCACAATCGAAGGTGTGACCCGTGCAGATAGAAGACGCATTAAGTGCGCCTGCCCTGGCTGAAACTCCCTGCGAGTCCCACAGTGACAAATTTGTGGTTTACATGATTATGTTGGCAATACCAACCTGGAAGACTTGGTGCTCAGCCTCGTATCCTTTGTGTTCTTCGACGGGTCACTGATGAAACTTGGCAAAAATAACTCCTCGACAACAGTGTGAATCATCGTATGCCAGCTAGATTTGAAGGATCATGACTCAAATGATAAGGAAAGATGATTTTGATATGATGCCATACAAAAATCAGATAGTAATCTAGTCGCTCATTGGGGTTCCGCACTTCTGGGAGTCGATAAAGACCGCAAGGCATCGGCAAGATTAATAATCGCATTGATATAACCGGATGCTATTCGCTCATTTGCATCCATCTGTTTTAGTGCTAGCCGCTCGTTGGCTTCAAGTTGCCTCACAGCCAAGCGCTCGTTGAATTCTAATTGCTTCTCAAGCCGTTGGTCCTTACGATCTTCGCACTCTAGTAAAGCTTTCGACGTAACATCTCCACTACGTTCAACCATACTGGCCAAGCTCAGGGCAGCTTTCGCTATTGTCTTCCTTCTCTTGTTCTTATTTCCCATGCTGTGACCACTCCGATCATCACTTTCACCTTCGTCGGTGCCTGAGCAGTTTCCATTGCTAGCATCGTGGTGCCCTAAGCAGAAACAAACACATGACTGCTAAGCGAGTGCGAAGAACTGAAATGACAGCATTCATTTACTTTAACCCGAGACGTCATCTATAACACACCAACTCAGATCACATGCAGCTTGTCCAGCCCTATGTCGCTTACTTCAAATCCGCAAAGTGAAGCCTTCCATCTCACCGAATTCAGTTATAAAGAAAAGCTACACAGGCTAGAATTGAAGGATCTAAAAAATCATATCAAACAGCCAAGTCAGGAACCAAAAAATAATTCAGCAGATCGTTATACCTTCATCTGCTGGAGAGGGAACGGAGGTATCAATGACCAGATTTCCATTGCCCGGTTTGCTATTTAAGTACCAGTCCACCATTGCGTCATAAATTTCTTGATGAAAGACGATGGGAAGCCGAGCTTCCTTTCTTTCCGATCCGGAAAGTTGCCAGAATGATGGCTTACCACTTGGAATGGCTCTTTGATATTCATAAACTTTTTTAAACTCTAGTGCCATTCTGTACCAACGGTCTTTGCACTGCTGTCCACTTCGATGAACATCATGTTCCCAACAATAGTCCTCAATGGCAAGCCATTTTTCTTTGGCACCCCGATGCTTGTCATGTTTGTCATTCTCTTCACGTTTTGCAGCTTGTAGAACTAAGCATTCAGTCACTGACCAGTTTGTCTTCTTGTAAACACGACCCTCTCTGCAAAAGGGAGGAGATCATTCACAAAAATGAAGCTATGAGTATAAGACCATTAAGAGTATGAGCATATGTACATTATCCCAACGCGAACCTGACAAAGAAACCTGTAGGTGGCTTTGATGTTCACCCTAATCCACCCACCTAGCTTGCTGCACTGATTACTAGAAAATAGATGCAATTTATATCCCCTGATCACGTTTATCATCAAGGTGGTTCTATCTGGAAGTGACGGTTTGTTTTCAACTGACATGCTCTTGAAAGTCGAGTTTCCCTCTCAGGAAAGACAAAAGTTCTGAAGAACAACATCTCAACTGGAAGTTCTGTCACAAAGAGCTCTGCATTCTATTGCCATACGCTTTAGATATTGTCCCTCTTTTGTCCTTAATATTTCCAAATCTGTACAAACCGAACAAAATCCTGAGCCAATCTGACTTACATTTTCACAAGAAGGAGTTACGAGCAATGACTAAAGTTTAGAAAGCACTAGGCGCATGAGGCCAAACTTCAGTGACTAGGAACTACTGTGTGGCTGATAGTCCGAAAAGGTCAAATGAAGAACTTGATGGTAAAGAGATTACTTCCATAACGCTCAGCGAAAGAACTTGGAGGCACGCAATCACTTTAAGTAGAAGACATACAAGGCCTTTTCAATTACATTGTGAAATTCACTGAACAGATCTCAATATTGCACACATAAGAACAACTTTTGCGGAACTTATTGCGGAATCTGCTGAAGCACTGGATATGACAGGACCAAAACAAAGTTCTATCCCGCACTGCCCAAGGTCATGTACAGATTCTTGCGCAAGCGCTGGACTTTCCATTCTTAGCTTCATACAACAGCAGCACTTGTTCCTCAGTGTCTACCAGTTCTAAGAAGGCAACCAAGTAGGACAGGGATAGCTTAATTTGGGACTTAATGCTCATTACTTACGGGTCTTCATGCGTCACTGAATCTCTTGGAAACACTGCAGACAATGTCCGAAAGTAGCGCGATGAGCTTCAGCTCTCAGTTCGTTCTACCGATGGTTTTCGTAAGATTAAGAAACAAGAAACGGCAGACAGAGTGCTGAAATTAATACACGGAAAAGGAGAAGGATTACACAGAAGAGGCGGACTCATCCAATCTTTACTTGGAAAAGAAAGCAATTGGATAATCGAGCTCATTTGGGCAATGTCAGACCTAAAAGAGCTCCTCAAACACCATCGTTGCTACCTATAGCACTCAAAGAGAAATTTCATCGTTCCCAAAAATAATAGCAGGCAACTTACTCACCAAAAAAAATCTTAACTGCCACACACGCACACGATACACAACAAGAAACATTCAAGAATATGGATGAACAAGAGGTTATACCTCTCCTCCATAGCCGCGGCTCACTGGCGAGAGTGAGTCTCAGTCCTTGCCATCCTCATCGGCACCATCATTCCATCCCCCTGCACTCCACTGTCCGTCTTTCCCCCATTCTTCATTTGCCCTTCATTCCCCGCATCATCGTCATCCTCCGATTCTGCGACGCCAGCAGGCCAGGCCTGCTACTCCATCCCCAATCAAGAAAAACCGCAGGCTTTTTTCTCACACGCGATCCCCGGCCAATTCCATTTCATAAAAGCCTACTATCCGAAGCCGCCCCGCCCCATCTTCGTCTCATCAACCCCATCGGCCACGCCGAGGAAAAAACCCCCTGCCCCATCTGAATCCCCACACTCAAAATCATCCCCACTTTTCCTTCTTCGTCGTCGTCTTCTTCTTCGTCTTCTTCTTCTTTTCTTGCTCGACCCACCTCAAACCTTTCGATCAAAATTCGCCCGCTCGCCAAGATTTCTATTCCTCTTCCCCTTTCTTGAAATTCCGCAACCTGGTGCTCTCTGCCATTCTCATTCGGAATTGTCGCTTTCTTTTGCTTCCCTTCCCTACTTCGAGAAATTGCACCCACTCCCTCAGTCTCCTCTCGTCCAGAGACAGGCGAAGAGCGAAGAGCGAAGAACCAGCAGCAGCTGCTGCTGCTGCTGCAGCGCACCAGCAGCGCCAGCAGCTGGACGACGGACAAGGTGACGAACGGACGGAGCCGCTGACAAGACTCCGCAGATGGACAGATGGACTTTTACGTCATCAGACAGGATGGACACTCCGCGCGTCAGCTGACAAGACGGCACTCAACTCCCTCGCAATCATTCGCCCGTTTCTCTACCCCGGTCCGCCGGTCACCGGTACTCTCTTCCAGGCGAGGCTCAATATTTGCTCCTAATTCCGAACGATAAAGCAATTTTCTTATTTCGTCTCCAAAGTTAATTCGCCATTTGCAGTAGCAGCTCCGTCTGCTAAAATTTTTCCCTTTTTTGTATATTTTTTTTCTACTTTAGGTTTTTTATGTATACATGTACAGTACTATAATTCTAAGTATGAACTGGAAAATAATTCAGATAAATAAATAAATAATTGGGCTTGAGGCTTTTCGGACATGGTGCATGAAGCTGTGCACTCTGACACCGGGTCGATGCTCGGTGCTCGTTCGCTCCGGTGGGTTAAGGTATCTCTACGACGCGTGTGAGTTCGGTACGAGGTTTTATTGTAGAGGGGTTGGGGCTGCACTTTGCCGTCGGAGGATTGCCGTGTTTCTTCAGAGTGTGATTCACGAGCGATGTGCTGAATGATGAAAGCGATCATGAAAATTGCAGATCGATTGTTGTGCTTTTTGGTGCCTTGTCGCCGAGGCAAGGCAAGCATTCGCCGATGTGACGTAAAAGTGTGTCTCGTCTTCGAAGGTAGGTCCGAGCGAGTCGTACGGCAGCGCAGTCGCACAAGCATTGCCATTCACTTTTCCTGGAGCGAACCAAGGATCGGAGGACAGGTTTGTACTCTTGAAGAGGACGACGTACGACTTCGAGGCGGCCTGTATTTATCCCAACACCAGATGTACTATCTTCTTTGGGACATATTTCGTTGCACGACAGCTACTGGCATGCCCAGCTTGCTAATCTGCCATATTAAATTCAAAGGAAATCCTTAAAAAATTCTGTGAGGGTGTTGGTTTTGCATGATGAGGTAGTACATGACAGAGTACCTTGTATCACTGTACCTGTCTTCCTGCTAGCTATGGTTTCACTTCAGCTCACGGGGCGACCTAAATCGTTGCAGGACACAATATGTATTATTTGTCATGGGATCTTCTCTTCATCGCAAGTAAATATTCAAGTTAAAACATACATACATCAGTATAATAATTGGACTACTACGGATGTGCATATGAGACGAACTAGTCCGTCAAATTTGGGATCACGCATGTTATGTCTATAAGTTGTAATGACTAAGTTTGTAGGAGGAATTAATTGACTAATGAAGCATCTCATTGCTGCTTAATGCTTTCGCATTTTGAGATTAAGTTCTCATGTAAGCATTCTTTCATAGTCTTGTTCGTGAGCTCCATTGAGATGCTAGAAGGACTTTCTGCTTACTGCTAAATCCGTTGGCATGTAACTTCATAGATAGGTTGGCACGATTTTAATGTCTCCTACTTCCGCGGTGTTTTCTGCATTATACTGGGGACGTGTTGGACATAACATCAAACTTTTGAAGACTAAAATTGAGGGATTGGATTAATAATAATCTAATTTACATGTATTGGTATTTCTTTCTTTTCAGCGCTTAAATTATAAAAACTATAACAGAACTTAAATCTTAACTTAACTAAGTGAGAGCATTCACGTCAAAGGAAAGACACACTTAGACTCGATATATTGCATTCCAACGTCCAAATATGGATAAGGTACCACAAACTTCAATGTAATTGTTTTTAGATTTGTTAAGGATGTTCATTGTAGGTTTATTTCATATAAATTGATGACATGTTATTCTAACTAGCACATACACAATACATTAACTAATACTAATAAACCCATAAATTTTTTTACATAGCATTTTTAGTTAATGCACTGATTATAATTTCAAAATAATTTATATATATTGAGGTGAATGATAATTCATACCAAATATCATGTCGATAATGATGTTACTATCAGTAACTGCAAATATTTTTTAATTTAAATAATAGTATTCTTACCATTGAATTATCTTAAATAATCTATACTTGTGATATATATATTTGTTATGGTTCTAATAAGTAAACTACTTGGACATACTTAGACACATAAACAATGAATGTGTATCTTCTTTAACACGTTATTGAACTACAGAAAAGTTGAATGATTTTGTGACATCATTTCTCTATAATTTGATATCGTATAATATTATTTATTTTATTTCTTAAAGATATGCAAATTTAATATGGTCATGACTTTAATACGATATATTTCTTGAATCTACTGTTGAACTTCATTTAAATCCAACAAGGTGAATTACATTCTCCTTAAATTTATCAATTCAAAACACAAGTATTTTTTTGAAGAACATGAGAAATATTACAGGATTTAAAAATAACAGTTGGTATGAAGACCATACTCCAGTCAAGATTATGGCTACAAGTTTACCCATGACAAAATCTTGAAAGTTCTGATTGCATATCCTTCTAAGTGGGAGAAGAGTGAAGGAGAACTGTCAAGGTGCTCATAGGATGCTTCAATATTATGTAGTCATCATCATCATAATAAATCTCTAGTGCAATGTATCATATTTCTTATTGCGATCTTATTGAGGACTAGCTTAACCAACCCTGAAAGTTTTATAACTGTAGAATTGATGCGATATTCCCAACCTTTTTCCTATATTTCTATTCTAAGGTTTCACACTTTCCATTTAGTGCGTTCGTTTTTCCTTTTATGTACTACAGAGAAGGAACTTGCTATTTGCAGTAATTCTTGTCATGTGGACTGCCAGTACCAGGTCAACCGTGTCTTATGTCTTATATGCCTTTGCACTTTTGGTTAATGGAGGAGGTTGTCCGGACATTCCATCCCGACGAAAGAGCAGCGAAATGTGCAGCAGCGACAGAAAGGCATATTCAGGTCTGCTTCCGAACAGCACTCAGTAAACATGACTCTCCAGAAGATAATCGTTCGATTCGATGATTATTAATAACAAATAATAATATTGCAGAGACGCCAAAGGCAAAGGCAGGAGAGGCAAGAAGCCAAACCAAAGCTCGATAAGACGAAGGATCAAAGGAGACAATATCAATCTTTTGACGTGTGGATTTAGGACATGCAGCAGATTACTTTAATCCGAGCACCTTCAGAGTATGTCTCATAAGGTGTAACCACAATATACGGGATGGAGCGTGTCACCCCGAAAGATTTAGGATCTTGTTATACCTTTTTTGGTACAAAAATATATAGAAATCTATACATAGTATATAACACGAGTTGGTCTATTATTAGGGAAGCAAGATCGACGTCGCGATTGCTCGTTTCCTGATACGAAGAGGACTGCAGGAGTCGGAGTCTTGTTGATTTGAAAGGAAAATATAACCTCTCCCGCCAAATGGCGCTGGAGATCTCAGAGGAGACGGCTACTGAATCGACGATGTTCAACGCGTCCATCGAGCTTCATGTCCGACCGTGGATCTTATCTGTCCGTTCAAGCAGGAGCAGAGAATCCGAGCGTTCAGTGTGCACCGGAATAAAGGTACTGTCTTCGGATCTCTCGAAGCAGCCTGTTTGTTATCTCTGACCATTACTGCCTAAGTACCAACGACATAACGGGACATATTGTTATCCCAGAGTTTAACTAAATGCATGAGAAGACTGTACAGCACGGACTATAAAATTCTTAGATTTTTCACCGACTTTATTGGACTAACGATATGATTTTAGATCGACAGTTTATGTGTTTTCTACCTATGTCTACGCGACAAATTACTGGACACAGCTTTTACTTCTGAACCCCAACTCCAAGTATATCTGGCGTAAAGCAAAGCAATCTAGAGCAACCCTAAAGCAATCTCTATTTTCCGAAAGTTGTCTAAGTCTTCGCTGTGTTCTTGTCTCCCAATCTCTCAAATTCCCTTGTCCTATTGTGTTAAACAAAGGTGTTCCCTTTCTTTTTCTTTCCTCGTTATATATCCATCTGGTCCCTTGTCGCACATTGAACAGGTAATCTTAGATTTTAAGTTTTAAAATATTTTCTCCTTGATTACTCCAAATAAGTACAATTATCATACATGAAACATGAAATTATTCTTAAGCAGAAATCAATTTTTATAATGGTTTGAAAAAATTAAGTAAAAATGAAACTCTTGATTGGAATAAAGCTGAATGATTCATTTCTGGTTGATTTGCAATTGCAAATTTGATTGTGTTAACTAGGAAGATTTTTTTTTAAAACGATGAAAGTAAAGAAATTTTAGATCAAAACATTCCATGTTATTTTAAATGCATGGAAATAAAATTCAAAATTTTCATTATAAAATATATAAAATAAGTTTATCACAATCAGACTTCTGAACACTTTCATCCCCATAAAAAAATCTCAAGTAATATACAGACGTTATTTATAAATAATATATCCAGAATTTTCGGTAGTATGTTATACTATTAGAAAAATAAGTATAGTTGTATTTTCAGTTAGCCCTGATTGAAATACGTGATCACGTATACTAGTTCAGACTTATTAGTGTTAAACTGAGATAAAATTTAAATAAAACTATTATTTGCAAAAGAAAATCTCAAAGTACATAATATATTATTCATATTCATGAAAAAAACAAATAGATAAAAAAATTTGTTTACATATTTCATAACAACGATTTAGCTCACATTAATGTTCAAATGTGAAATCAACATATCATGTTTTGAATCAAAGTGTATTCATGTGAAAGTTTCATGTGTGTGGATTTGTGTTAACGCAACGTACAATTTGTTAACACAAATCCATAAACAGAAGATATCAAAGAAAATTAGGTGAAGATTCACATAACAAGCGAATGAATACAAATCATCATTTGTTCATGAGCTTATTTCATGAGAACAATGTATAATAATCATACTATGTTTTGGATAGAAATGTTTTCATTTGTGATAATTTTATGTTTATAAATATGCAATGATTTGTGTTAACTCATTTTATACTTTGTTAGCACAAATTAACACAA